ACAGGTGATTGTGGGTTTTTGGATGGTGCACTCACAGCTGATTCAGTTCATTATAAATGAAGGAAACAGCACTCTGGCAGAAATCCTGTGAAAGAAATGAAATTTTGACCTCCAGCCCCTCCACATTTCACTTCCCCCCATGCAAAAGCAAATCCAGAGGTTAGGAAACAGGGAACACATTTTTCAGCTACTTTTTGCTACCCTAATTGCCCAACCTTTCCCTCCCTCCACTCCCCCTCTGCCCACCCTTCCCTGCTCCCCAGGATGCACACAGGGAGCTGCCAAACACTCTCATCATTCCTCAGCAAACACAACAGGAGCATGTGCTCTACTTTGTTTTCCCACCAGCTCTGCTCTTGCCTGAAGGTGCCTTCCCCTGCTCCATCATTTCGTGTTAAGAGAGAAGAGAAATGCAAGCGACACTCATTTTATAGCTCAGCCACAGGTAAATTATCTGGTGAAGCAGGTGAGCACTTGGCTTTCCTGCCTTTCATTTTTCTTCAAGTGCAAATAAAATGTAATGGCTGCACTGATTTATTATTACCAGCAGAATGTAGCACAGGTATCATTTGACACCGTGTGTGCCTCCATAAATCCTTGGCTGAATGACAAGCCCCATTCTGTGCAGTTTGAGGCTCCCCCTGAACCTCTGCCCCACAACTGTAACAACTTTCTGACAGGAAAATAATTTCCTACAGCCCCAAATCTTCACTGGGAGTAGTCCTCACGGCTTCTGGGACATGTCCGAGCTGGGAGGTGCCATTTCCAAATCTGATGAAGGCTCCAGCGTGGGGACATGTGAGCTCAGCCCTTCCTTTGGAGCAAGAGGGACCCACGGGGATGGGGGATGGCATCTCTGGGTAGGGCAGGGCAGCAACAGCAGTGCCAGGCACAGACAGCTCATCCCTTGGAAACCCAAACAGAGAGTCACAGGATGGTTTGGGTTGGAAGGGATATTGAGGATCATCTCTTCCCACCCCCTGTCATGGGCAGGGACACCTTCACTAGCCCAGGTTGTTCCAGGCCCTGTCTGACCTTGGACACTTTCAGGGATTAGGCAGCTTCTCTGGGCAATCTGTGTCAGTGCCTCACCACCCTCACAAGGAATTCCTTCCCAATATCCCATCCAACCCAGCCCCCTGTCAGTGTGATGCCATCCCTCTTTTTCCTATCAAAAACCATCCCCGTGTCCAGCCCACAGGATAACAGGGGTGGGCAAAAACTGCTCACCCTCATTTTTCTAAAACACACCTTCCAGTTGTTCCCTTTAAATTTTTTTTTCCCCCTCATTAAACAAAAGAAATCATGGAGGGAAAGGAAGGAGAAAGAGAAGGGGGGGTAGGGGATGGGAAAGGAACATCTTAAATGCAAACGTCAGAATGTTGAGAGCAGAGGGATCCAGGCTCCCGCTCGCACACGGGGCTCTGCGGTCACTGGTCACTTCCAATCAGCTCCTACCACCAGCTAATGCTCCCTGTCAGCCAGAAACAAGGAACTCTGGAGAAAAATAAGTTCCACACAGAGACTTTGGGTTTGTTTTCTTGTGGTACTCCAATGGCCTGCAGGAAAGGAAAGTGTCCCTGCTGCACTGAGTAACTCTGCCTTAGATGACACTGCCAGACACTGGCTCTGCTGTGATCCCAGCAAAGAGTATCCCCCTCTCCACGGTGGTGTGACAGGAGAGGTGCCCCCTGTGGGATCAGCCTGTCCCCACTGACACACAGCTGGCATCGTCCTGGAGCTGCTCTGGGAGAGCCTCAGAGGCACCGAGGACAGGGGAGAGAAAACCACGGAAAACAGAGTGGTTTGGGTTGGAAAGGACCTTCAAGATCATCCAGTTCCAAACCCTGCCATGGACACCTTCCACTAGCCCAGGTTGCTCCAAGCCCCCTCCAGCCTGGCCTTGGACACTTCCAGGGATCCAGGGACAGCCACAGCTTCTCTGGGCAACCTGTGCCAGGGCCTCCCCACCCTCACAGGGAAGGATTTCTTCCCCATATCCCATCTAACCCTGTCCTCTGGCAGTGGGAAGCCATTCCTTGTGTCTTGTCTCTCCAGGCCCTTATCCCAAGTCCCTCTCCAGCTCTCCTGGAGCCCCTTTAGGCCCTGGAAGGGGCTCTCAGGTCTCCCTGAAGCCTTCTCTTCTCCAGGTGAACACCTCCAGCTTTCCCAGCCTTTCCTCACAGCAGAGCTGCTCCAGCCCTGTGCTTCCCATCAAACAAACCACAACTTCACATTTTGCAGGTTTTAAAGAGGCCTGGCCTGACAATGATTTCTGCTACTGACCTGACACAAACACCATGTCCCAGAAAACCTCACACTGGAGAAAGGAAATTAATTTTCCTAAAGTCACTTTTGAAGAGCCCCCTGGAGTAGCTGAGCCTAGAACAAACACTGATTTCTCTCCAGGTGCTCCTGATGGGAGACTCAGAAGTGTCCCATCTCTTCCCAAGGATTATTTTGTTTGGACACATACTCATGTTCCCCAGTGCCTGCTCAGACACAGCCCTGCACAGCAGCGACCTGTAACCTCCCACAGACCTCTGCCCACCTCCACGGGGACCACGAGGCCAGTAAAACCAGAAACTTTTTAAAAAAATCTTCTATTTCTATTTTTTCCTATTATTTCCCTCTAAGGAGAAAGTTAACAATAATGTGCTGCTTGGAAAAAAAAAAAAGCGACAACAAATACATTTACCAACTGTACACAGTAATAAACTGAAGAAAGCAAGTTTATAACCAGTAGACTGAGACATTATTGACAACCAGATATCGATATGATTTAAAAAAAATCTCTGTGGACAGGCCTCTGTAATACCAGCAATGGCTTCATCTTTCGAAAGAAGGCATTTTCTTTTTTGGAAATTTTTGAATTTGTGGTTGATTTATTTGGATTTTTCTCCATGAGATTTTGAGCACATGAGACTAAAATGCAGGAAAACACATCTGATCTTTGGAAAAACAATAATTACAGCTCCATTGAACATCCTGCCCTCTGCAGTGCCTTCTTCTCCTGCTGCAAGAACACACATCCCAACACAACGCTTGGAATGTTAAACTGGATGTTAATAAGTGGTTTAAACTGCATAATTCATGCTAATCTAAGGAATGTTTTGCCTAGACCAGAGCTGGTGGGATTGTTTCACCTGTCAAACTGTTACATGTCTACATGAGTCGCCTGTGATTCAACACAGCACATGTGTTGCTGCTCCAAAATGGTGCCTGTGAATTCATTCCCACAGGTTCCTTAATATCCTGGTTTTTTTTGTTTGTTTTTGTTTTTTTTTTTCCAGTCCAGATATAGTTTTTGTAGCTAATTTTCTCAGTTTTCAGCTGTTGGTGCAGTGATCTGTCACTGCTCACAGGAACGATGGAGAAAGAAAACTCAGTTTAAATTGGGAGTGCAGTGCTGGGGAAATGGAAGCACAGCCACGGGAGAATAAAACAAAACTTGGAAGAGCAGCCAACAACAGGACAACACACCAAAAAAAAGCCTTATTGACAGGAAAACAGGGTCACATTTGGTTTTGTCTGCACTTTCTCTTTGTGAAGGACTCCCTCAGTGTTGATGACACCACACATTCCCCTCTAACGCCACTGGCAGGAGGCCACGGCTTCCAGGAACAGCAGAACCAGCATCTTTTCAAGAATCTGTTGAGCAGCCAAAGCTCCTGGTCTGGAAATGTGTGAGAAAGGACAATCACAGAACCACAGAATCGCTGAAGTCGGAAAAGACCTTTTAAGATCCTCAAGTCCCACCATCACCCAGCACTACTGAGAATCCTGTTCTCAAGTGCCACGTCCACGAGCTTTTTGAACACAGCGCTGGTGTTCCCAAAGCTCTGCCAACTCTTGTTCTTGGTTATAAGGGGGACAATTAGAGGCTCCAAGCTTTTTAGTGGGATGTGAGGAGTCACCCAAAGAACATGGGAGAAGGCAGCTGGACTCGCAGTGAGCGAGTGACAGGCAAAACACAAGGCAGCACCTTTGAGGACCAAGCAGATACCGCCCCAAAAAGCCTTTTCAGAGGTGTTTATTAGGAATCATCAGACAAAACAAGAAGCTCCATCACGAATCTGTAGCATTAACATGGCCCACGTTCCTCTGTTTAGCTGCCCAGCTGTGCAAGAGTTTGTGCTGCAAACACAGAAGTTCAACAGCATCAGAGCCAAAGTGTGCTGAGATGAAAAGCTGAGAGAATGGCCAAACCAAGGTGGATTCAACCCAAAACAGCGATGTATCACCACCCATAAAATCATGGCAGGTTTGGGATGGCTGACAGGGAGCTTGGGTAGTAATGAGGGGTGGTCAGATTGGATTTGGAGAACCACAGATCACGTGTAGCTGTGAAAAGGTGGTGTTAGGGTATGGAAACCACTCTTGGCTACACCCAACAGGAATGGAGTCACCATCCCAGCCCAGACTCATCAGGGTCAGTACATGGCCCCAGTACACCAGGCCACAGCCAGTTAAATAAATGAGTTACTCAATTCAGCAACTTCTCACTGAAGTGTTTGAATACAATGACACACACACTTGAAATGAAAAAAAAATAAGGCTGTCATTTGACAGAGAAACATAATTTACAGTAATTATTCATGTCTGCAGAATACACATAGAAACTCCCCCCCCACCCCCGAGGGAAATTAAAAATCCTATAAATAGCCTCACTGGAGAACAGCTGGATAGATCCTATACAATAACCAAGTATTTAGACTGATCCACATGTTTCTGCATCCCCAAGAAGATGGCAATTGCAAGCCTAAAATTCAGTTTAGACCCATGAAAAGTACAAAGGGAGAATGGGAGGAAATTGAAATGTCAGCGCTGCTGGACCTCACGCTTCCCATTACCACTAAAAACTGAGGAAATGAGAGGAAAACCCTGAATTTCAGTGCTCACCATCACTCAAGTGCCCAGTCTGTTTTTCGTGGGCATTTTCTGTAATTTGTTGCTTTGTCAGAAGGCAAAGTGGAGATGCAGATTGAAAACTGCCTTACCTGGAGTGTGCAGAGGGATGCAGGAGCCACAGCTCGACGCTGAGGGGCAGGAAGGTTGGCTTCACCACCCATCCTCCTGGGAGACCTGCTCCAGCTTGGGAAAGTCTTGTCCATGCTTGCACCCTGTCTTGCACTGAATTTAAATATGCTTCTGCCATCCTTTCATTTGCCTTCAGCTTGGGAATAAAACACTTCAGGTTTAGAGACACAGAATGGTTTAGGTGGGAAAAGCCCTCCAAGGTCATTGAGCCCAATGATTAACCCACACTGCCAAGGCCACCACTAAACCATGTCCCCAAGTGCCACCCACACATCCCCAGGATGGGGACTCCACCCCTGCCCTGAGCAGCTGTGCCAGCACTCCTGTTTTATTCCAAAAGCATACAAAAGTATTCCAAGCCCAATCCAGGATGGTAATTCCCAGATCAGAAGAGAGTGGCTCCTGTAACACCACGTACTGTCATAGTCTGGTCCACATATATTTAAACATCAAACCAGCTGCAACCTTTGTAAGAAATTTTTCTGCTTATTTCACCTGATTTTGTCAATACATACACAAGAAATGACTTGTTTGGACAAATAACCTTTAGCAAAATTGGGTAATTACGAACATCCATCACGGGCCCACTGGCATCAACAACACGACATGAAGCTTCTGGCATGGAATGACTCCCAAAAAGGCCACATGAATCAATAGGGAAGATGTCTAATGCGAAGCTAGAAGGTGGACACCTCAGTGATAAAATAAAATTAGATATTTTACATTAAAAATGTGTATTTTGATGTGTGAATGCACATATGTACGTGTACTGCCACGAATCTCTCATTCAGGTACCATAAGCATTAACCACATACACTGCAAATGTCTTATCATTTTCCTCTCTAAAGGCACATACAACAAACATCTAAGGTAAAGAAAAATGCCTTCGTTAAGCCAAAACTGAATTTAAAAACATTTTTAGCTTCAGGATTTGTGATACCGCCAGAGACATTTCAGCAATCATAAATGTCAGTTATGGAAAACCTGCTTAAGAAGTGACCTTTGTGCTGAGCTTCCCACTGAAAAGAAATTTGATTAAAAACCAAACAAATCTTTTGTGGTTTTGTGTGGGACTGATGGGAACTGATCTATGCACCTGTAAAAAAATCACCCTCTCACTCCCACATTACCACTCAGGACAACGATATTTAGGGGCTTCTCTTTTTCTTATTGGCACTGTGAGTTAACTTTCACTAGGTAAGTGAAAGCTACTGTTCAAGAAGTGAAAATTCCTGGTCGTTGAAATCTGTTTCCTCCTATTATGCAGAAACCTGACACCTCAGAGCTTCTTCGTTCAGGTAAATCTGTGTTGGAAAGCCTTGGGGTGCTGCTCACAAGCCTGAGCAAAGAGACACCACTGAGGGGAAGTTAATTCCTGACTGAAATGGTGAAAACCTGCCCCCTGCCAAAGCCATGGAAAAGCTTTGCTACGGAGGAGATGGAGGGGTCACCTTTCCAAGCAGAAATATTGATTTGAATGAAGTCTGAATGGGGACCTGTGGATGTGGAGGTACCAGGAGAGCTGGCAGGAGGACAAAGCAGTGATAAGTACACCAGGTCATCCCAATCCCACCATGCCCACTCAAGGCACTGAGGTGGGGAAAGCCAAAAACTCACTGAAGCCATCAAGGGGTGAATTCCCACAGGAACAGGGCAGATAAAAGACACACGAGATCCCACCAGGTTGGTTAAAATCAAACAACCTTGTTCTGTCTTGTTTCCCATCAAGCCCTTCTGCATTAGCTCATCTGAAACGCAAACAGTGTGACAAGGAATTCCCATGGCAATGGGATGCTCTGACACCCAAGTGGAATGCAAAGGAAGAGAGCAAACCCTGAGGAATTACAGCCTTCCCAGGACTGTTCACTGCTTAGAGCCTGGAACTGAGCAAGTTCCTGAATTTGCTGAGGTGTGTTTGTACCACCCTTTGAGGAGGGCAACGAGCTACAGACTAGAAGTTGTTAGATTGACAATCTGGGCCTGAGTGAATCTGAGAGTCTGATTTTCAATTCCCAGGCTCAGGTTGTGCATTTGTAAAACACACACAGATGAGATTTCGAGTCTGTACTGTTAAGACCCATTTGAAAGCGCAGCTCTTGTTTGAGGAGTCTCACAGGGCCAAATTATACCACTTGCATGAGCACAGGAATTTGCAAAGGACGAGTGAGAACAAACACATTATCAGAAATGCAATTTACAGGCGTCCAGTTAAAGGTCGATGGGAAGGCTCTTCCCAGCCTTCAGAAGGCAAATGGAACAGAAAAGAGGAAAACTCACCAGCATCCCAGCACATCTCCCAGGCAGCACCAGGAGCAGTCTCTAAAGCAATTCTCAATTAAATAAGAGACTTACAGAATTAAAGTTGTAATACATTATTGATTGTCTACAGAATGAGTATCTGACTGACTGCAGCCAAGAATCCTTCCCTGAGTGTTGCTCTTGAACAGAGATTATATTAACAAAACAAAGAGGGAATTGGAGGATGGTATCTAACAGTAAATACCGAGATGCTCTGGTAGCTGATTTTATAGCAAGAAAAAGTGTGTTTGTTTGATCCAAAGTGACACGGTGGTTTAAGGCAAAAATATGAGAATATCTAATTGACCATTCCAGTCACTTTTTTTATGAGAAAGGCAATTTTTCTGCCCTTGTAACAACAGTATTGTTTTACTGCTGTGTAAAGTCACTTCTGCTTGCAACTTGCATCATGTAGCAGGTACTTGAGGTGGAAAATATTACCTAAAACTCATCTGTTTTCTGAAATGTTCAGCAACAGATAACTTAAAGATACATAAGCCATCATTATGGACATGGACAGCATACAGAGATGGGTGTTTCGGGTGCTGATGTGTGTTTTTGCTCCTTCCTGCAGGAATTACCACATCAGCACAATGAAAGATCACAGCTTTATCATGAGTTCCCCCCAAAATTACTCTGTAAAGAGGTAAGTGTATATGTAGACCTCTACAGAGTGCAACAGCTCTTGAAATTCTGCAGTAAGGATCAAAAATACCCAGGAAATGTATTCATTTTCTTAGACGAGTTTTTAAAATAATATTTTATTTTTTGAGTCAGTGGTATATTTAAAAACAATCTACGGTAAGAGTAAAAAGATTGTAGATAGTAAAAAACAAAAGTGTGATGACAATAAAAAACACTAGAGTATAGTTAGTTTCCTTCCTCCCTCCCAAAACCCCATCCCACCATTGTCTAATATTTCTCAGAGTTTAATATCTGAAAAAAAAAATGCTTTTTTCTTTTTTTTTTTTACACTTTCAGTAATTAGGAAATTAAAAATACATAAAGGCATTCTTTGCAGACACATTAATCCATTATTACATGAAAAGCAGGCACCATAAAAATGAAAACATTCTAAAAACCATCATATATACAAACACTGTACAGAATGATGGCACAAGGACAAAGTGATTCCATTCAGTTCATCCTAATCCAACATGAAATATTACACATTAAAGAAAGGAAAAAGCTCTTCCCATTCCTGCACTCAGCCTTTGGGTTCGGAATGACCAGGAGTCTCCTACCTGCCTACTCGTTCCTTCCCCACGCGCTCGTGCCCGTTGGCAGCTCCGAGGCTTCCTTGGTTTACCCTGTGATGGACACCCAGAAGATCCAACTGAATGAAAATGGCAACGGCTGATCTGATCAACAGTGACTAATTTTATAAAGCCCATTAATCGTGGAATCACGGAATACACTAAGTTGGAAGGGACCTGCTGGGAATCCAATCCCTGGCCCTGTCCAGGACACCCCAACAATCCCACCCTGTCCCAGAGAGTGTTGTCCAAACACTCCTTGAGCTCTGTCAGCCTTGGGGCTGTGCCCACTGCCCTGGGGAGCCTGTTCAGTGCCCAACCACCCTCGGGGGGAAGAACCTTTTCCTGAGATCCAACCTAAACCTCCCTGACAAAGCTCCAGCCATTCCCTGGGGTCCTGTCAGCGGTCACAAGAGTCAAGAGATCAGTGCCTGCCCCTCACTGCCCATCGTGAAGATAATGAAGATCACAATGAGGTCTCCCCTCAGTCTCCTCTTCTCCAGCTGAACACACTAAATGTCCTCAGCTGCTCCTTGTACGGCTTCCCCTCAAGGCCCTTCCCCGTCATCATGACCTCCTGCTGAAGACAGAGGCAAAGAAAGTGTTAAACACCTCTGCCTTGTCTGTGTCCCTGTTTGGGAGGTGACCATCCCCCTCCTGGAATGGGCCAAAGATATTTCTATACTGCCTATTGCCATTATTGTATTTATACTGTTCCCCCCATTTCTGGCAGCTCCAACTCCAACTGAGCTTTGGCCGCGCGCATTTTCTCCCTACAGTGACGAGAAGCATCTCTGTGTTCTTCCCACGTCACCTGACCTTGCTTCCACTGGGCACACACCTTCCTTTTCCACTTTATATCCAAGAGAAGATCCCTGCTCAGCCAAGCCAGCCTTCTGCTTCACCTGCTTGACTCCCAATATTTGGGAACTGCTGCCCCTGTGCCCTTAGGAGGTGATGTTTGAAAAGTGACCAGCACTGATGGACCCTCAGCACCTGCAAAAGCATTTTTCCAGAGGACTTTACTCCCTCATTCCCTGAGCACCAGAAGTCTGCTCTCCTCGTGTCCAGGGCTGAGGTTTTGCTGCCACTTTTCCTCCTGTCACCAGAGATTTTCAACTTGATCCCTGCGGCCAAGGCGGCCAAATGAGATTATTTGTAACACAGACCAATGAAAGAGAAGGCACAATTCACAAAGAAATTGTATCTGATTTTTAGCCCTGGGCTCAAATCCCTGTTACCTGGGGAAATCCTACAGCACCTTCACTTCCCTGGGAAGCTCCTCCAATGTGCACTGAATTCCATGTGAATATTGTCATCGATTCCTATATACACCGAGATCAGGTACAAAAACTCCGCTCAGTTTAAACTCCAGAGCTACCTGAACACTTTAGATACAAAATATTCAGCTCTCACTTGAATCTCCACGGCCAGCTCTGTGCCTGGCATTACTCAGAAGCAGGGAGAAGGTTTAGGAAGAGGGAGGGTACTGTCAGTTGATGGATACCTCCAGGTCTCAAGTAGAAATCCAGATTTCTTTCAAGTTATGGGAGGGAATAACCCCCAGAAGAGGGGGGGATGTAGTGTCGGTTCCATGGCTAGAAATGGATTTCTTACGGAGTTAGAGTCATTGCACTAAATGTTAGATACTGCACACCTGAATGAGGTAAACATTATATACCATAAAATACTTAGGGAAATGAATTGTTACAGCTTTATCTTTGGAAAAAAAGAACCCGCTTCCTTCTTCACTGGACAATCCCAGAGTCCACCGACGTTTGCTTCCGAGTCGTCTTTGGAGGGGGAGGCGGCGGAGTCTTGCTGGGGAGAGGAGGTGGCAGGTGCTGGAAGAAACCAATTTGGATGGATCACGTTAGCAAAGGACGGAGTTTGGAAACATTTTTCTGTTTCACATATAACTGTGACAGAAAACAGGTGAGCCTGCAGCCTCTGACTCACAGAAACCTCTGGGCAGAACTCGCCGCCGTTGGGTTCCCAACGCCCTCGGCCGTTGGTTTTTAAATATAACTTTTATTTTTGACAAGGCGCAGAAACCTCTCGAGGGGGTCAGGATTAATTAGCTCAATATTTCAGGAAAAATCTTTCGAAAGCGCCGGAGAAGTTTATAATTCCCCACTTTATATCATGATAGGGTATTGATTCCTTGGTGGGCATTGATTGCCTCAGCCTCCAGGCACTCAGAGCTTAAAAACCAAGCCGAAGCAACGGCTTCATTGCTTTTCCATTATGTTTTGGATTTTGCACATTTAGAACAGGAATCATTAAAAAAAAAAAAAAAAAAAAAAAAAAAAAAAAAAAAAAAAAAAAAAAAAAAAAAAAAAAAAAAAAAAAAAAAAAAAAAAAGAAAAAAAAGAGAGAAAAGAGAAACGATTTAAAACCATTTAAAGGGATAAGTAAGTCACAATTTACCATCACACACAGAGCTATAATTAAAATATTCAAAATAGAAATGCAGACTGTTCACATACATATATTTTAAATCACTTCATGTATCACACAACAGAAGAGCGCTCCCAGTTAGAATCACTAGCTAATTGGACAAATTAAAAAAGTCATTATGGAAATTAAGATTTTTTTTTAAATGTTAAATCATACATATGATAAAACCTGTTTCAGAAGGAGCTTGAGAACACTGCAATTTGCTCCCAGGCTTTGCAGGCAGGTTTTTACAGATTCTGGCTGTGCAGGCAGTGCAGGTTTCCCCTCACTGCACCCAGGCTGTGCTGCAGCATCACAGCTCAGAAACGCTGCTTTGGGGTTGTTTTTCCCTAAGATTCTCCTTCTCCTCAGCCACTGCCTTTTGTTTTCCTCCAAACCTAATGATGCTTTTCCATTCCCACTTGTTTGTGTCTCGTCCTGCCTCACCCACCCAGCACTAACTGCTGGCTCCACGCACTCAACAGCCCAACAAGCACCAACTCTGCCAAAATTCCTCGGTCACTGCCACAGGAACAATCCAAACACCTGCAGTGCCCCACTGCAGGCACTGCTTGGACAAAATAACTCGTGATTTCTCAGTATCAGGAAGACACTGGTATATAAACAGCTGATAAACCACGTGAAAGAGCATAAGAAACAAGACTGTTCCTTTTAAAAGCTGTCCAAAGATCCTGTCCTAAAGAGATGAGCAGTTCAGGGGGATGCCAGGACATCTCAACCTCTCCTGCAACCTTGTGACTGGGAGCTTTACTGGGAGTTCTCAGAGATGTGTAAGAGTAGGAGGAAAAAGCACCTTTAAGGTAAGTAAACACCCTCTTTCAAGCAGGTTTTAAGACAACATGAAGCTACAAATCCAGATAGTTTTACTAAGCACAGACTAAAGAGAAAGGTAAGGCTGCAAAATGGCAGAGCCAGGAAGGCTGGGTTTTTGCTGGAATACTTTTCCTGTATCCTACCTGGACAGAACTACTTTCCAAACTCATTTACAAGTTTTCTCCTGGCTCTCCTTTAGGGCAAATGAAGGGGGATGCCAAACCACCCCCAGGAAAGCCATGCCCTGAGCTCGTCTCTCCGTTCTGCTCCATCCACTCTCCACTTCCCAGCCTTTCCAGCAGCACCGCTGCATGGATGTGCCTGCTCTCACCTCCCTCCTTGGATCCAAAATGCTTCCTGACCTGGCTCCTTGGAAAGAACTGGGTTTAATCAGCTGCTGAATGAGAAACTCTGGACCAAGGAAAGGCACCGGAGCCGGGATGCCTGGTCTGGAATGTTGTGTTCCCCTGCCTGCCTGGGCAAGAGGCATCAACACCTGGCACCTGGGACATGGGATAGTGGTGGCCTTGGGAGTGATGGGGGAATGGTTGGACTCGATGATCTCAGAGGTCTTTTCCAACCTAAATGAGTCCACGGTTTTCCAGAGCAGGTTCCAGAGAGGGCTCTGCTTATTCCTGACTTCCAGTGGGACACGATGATCTCCGAGTTGGAAAACCAAGTCAACAGATTAATGTGAAAAGTAGATAATGTAAGAATTTAATTTTACTAAATGCAAAACCGAAGACTTGTTTGGCTTTTAGTTAAAATGCCACTGCTGATCTGCCTCTGAAGTGTTACAGTCAGAACCATTAAATATTCCCTCTACCTGAGCAAATACTTGGCATGTTAATTCCTGAATCCCTATTAAGGCATCTGAGTAAGAGCTGGACTGTCAATTGTGATCTGAGGGTTTCAAAATCTTTGGGAACCTGCTCAATTACAGTCCTGTATCCAAGCAAGGGCTCTGGGCAAACTCTGGGAATGGCTGGTGGTCTGCAGCCCACCAGTGTACAACATGCAACAGCCCTTCATGAAGATGACATTCATTCCAGAGCTCAATAAACCAGGCATCCCTCTGAAATACAGTCCAAAATGCAAAACTTTCCCCTGCTCTGCTCTCACATGAGCTCCTTAACTTCATATTTATCACCAGAAAAAAAAAAGCCCCAACTCTGCTGATAGCATCATTTGTGAAAATCCATTTTGAATTTAAATAACACTACATTGGCAATAATTCTCAATTCAATTAGATCAAAGGCATTTCTCAACCAAATGAGCCCTTCATATTGATCAGAGAACAATCAAATCAGCCCTGGAAACCTGCTTCTGAAGAAGAGATACAATGAGAATAAGCTAAATATATATGCTATAAATAACAAGCGCAAAACCTACCAGAGCTCAGATTCTGCAGGCAAATTAGGCAGAAAGAAATAACAGAGATAGGTAGATAATTATTATAATTGAATTTACAATTTCCATTAGAAAGTCGGATAAATTTAGCACATGTTCATTTATATAATAAGCTACCAATGAATATATTAAGTAGGATGTGTGAGGCTGGTTGGAGCGACATTATTGAGGAATTAGCACCACAAAACATGCCACTATGGAACTCCAGATCCAGCCATGGCTCCCAGGGCTGATACATCCTCCCTTTTATTCCAGGACAGGACGAAATTCCAGCATGCTTCCTCTCTCCCTTTAATACCACACTCAGAAAACCACTACCAGGCTTATGAAGTTCATTTTTGCTGTGTTTCCCCCTAGAAACTTCGAAATAAAAATAGAGTTTACCTTGATTTTTACATTTAATTAAGAGCTGCTTTGCTAAGTACGTGTTTATATCTCAGTGGTTAATTGTGAATCTCGAAGCATCTTTTTCCTTTCTGACAAATTGACAGAGGCTGGTTCACATCCCAACCTATTTTGGGCAGAATCCTTGACTCACGGGGACCTCAGGGGAAGCAGAAACCTTATGTAAAAGGCACATCTGCAACACAGAAACAATCTGTTCCTTCTGCTTCAAACATGAAATTGCTCCCATTTGTTTGCCTTTTTTTTTTTTTTTTCTTTTTTCCTCCCCTCTCAGACAGAAAAGAATCAGGTTCAAACATTTGTCTCTGTTCTCTCCCAGATATGAACTGCACTGCACTGGGCACGTTCAAGATGTAGTAAAAATCAATTACAGAAGATGAGAAAATGCTTTTTTTTTTTCCTCCTGTGAAGAAGCAAAATTGTTTTTCATTCAGAAAACAAACAAAAAAACCCAAACAAAAAACAAAACCACCAACAAACACACAACATTTGATTCCTAAAACTGGTCCTTGTGGCACTGCATGAAATTTCTTCTCATGCAACTATTTTTCTTCGAAATTCCATGGCCATCAATATAACAAGCTCCGGAGATCCAATGAGAAGCACTTTAAGTTGGAAGGATTAATGGATCTAATTAGGTCAGGAGCAGGAGAAATGGGATGTAAACAAACTATCAGCTACCCAGGACTGTGAATGCTTTCAGACCCTGAGTTGCTCCTTCAGCACAGAGCTGAGCAGCCTGACAAGCAGCGATGAAAAATAATATCTGCAATGAAAAATAACATTATAGTGTGAGGTCCTGGCAGAATAACACTCCCATTGTGAAAGGGCAATAATGCACCAGCAGAGAGAACAACCCAACTCCACTAATGTGAACCAAATTACAGACAGTTTAAGCTAATTGGCTGTTTGACCCAGGGAGCAAAGTTATGTGGAAAAGCTGGCAGGTAACTGGTGTAAAATGACTGTTTGAGGCCTGTTGTCGTACATCATCTATTAGAGTCTCATTTGACTGTGTCACAGCCCTTCCTGGAGTCTGCTTAGGTGAAAAAAAAGGAACTTTTAGGATCCCTCTGTGGAGATGCACTTGGTGTTCTTCCACCTGCTGTGTGCCATCTGGGGCAGTGTGAATGATCCCCCAAAATGGGCAACATAGAATTGCTTCGAGTCAGCGTCTCAGATCAGATCATAGCAGCCCCTCTGCTCTGGAGCCAGGCTGGGAGAGCTGGGGGTGTTCACCTGGAGAAGAGAAGGCTCCAGGGAGACCTGAGAGCCCCTTCCAGGGCCTAAAGGGGCTCCAGGAGAGCTGGAGAGGGACTTGGGACAAGGGCCTGGAGTGACAGTGCCTAACCAACCTCTGGGGGAAGAACCTATTCCCAATATCCAACCTAAACCTCCTCTGACTCAGCTCCAGCTGCTCCTTTGGGTCCTGTCCCTGGTCACTGAGAGCAGAGATGCTGCTGCCCCTCCACTGGAGGCTGCTATTGCAAATCCTGACACAGTGCTCCCTAATTACCCTCTGCCTCCATAGCTTCAGCTGCTTCCCAGCTTTTTTGTCTCTGTCCACATGAGGACAACACTTTGCTGGAGCCTTCAAGTCACGTTTTGCTCACTGCAGCTGATACAGGAGATCATTTTCAGCTCTGCAGCACATGCACTGCAACACAGGGAAAATCCCCCTGGATTCTTCCATCTGTGTATTATATTAGGATATAGTATTCCATTATATCTGAATAACCAGCCTGAATAACCCTCATACAACATCATCCCAGAGAGTCAAACCAGGCACTGCAGGAGATCGTTCCTCTCCTCATCCCACGTGCTGCTCCAGCCTTCGCCGTTCCTCCTTTCCAAGCTCTGCCTGGATTCATGGAGATGTTCTCATCCCAACCATTACCTGATCCTTAGTAAGTGTTACAGCCAATATCATAAACCCAAGTGCTCCTTTGTCTATTTTCCTTGAGCTCCCCTCTGGCGGCGAATTACAAAGCAAGCGGTTGATTTGTACGCAAGGGTGAGGATGAACCCATAAAGAAGGATAAGTGCCTAAAGGAATCCCCTGATGTAATAATAATCCTTGCAGGAGTCATGGACTTCTTTTTTTTTCTTTTTTTTTTTTTATGTTCCCATATATTATTAAGAACACTTTTAGCAGAACAAATCACGTGGTGCCAGAAAATACATTTATAAGGGTCTCACAGTTAACAGTGAGCAGAGGGACGATCAGGAAATTAAAAGGAGATGATCCTTTGGATAGAAGACTTAAGGTACACCAAGGTAACAGTGGACTCCAAATAATCTAAGATTGCTGCCTCAGACACTAAATGACAGTATTGCCTGCAGTTTGACTTGAAGCATCTGCTGCATTTCTGGCTGCCTGCTTTCAGTTCACTACAGCACTTGGCTTTCATAACCCACTGCAAGACAACCGGAGTGAAAAACCTAATAATTCCTCACACAAGGAGATATTTCCAGTTTAAAAGCTACCCAGATAATCTTATCTCTAATGTGTTTTACTGATTTTTCTTCCCTGATACAAAGCTGGGGTAATTTAAAAGATGATCAGTTTACTAGGCAGAGAATGATCAAGTTATGAATTATGGAGCTATTTGACCCATGAAACATAAGGCATTAAAACCATGGAGTGGGATTTAATCACAGCAGCAATAAGAATTTACTCATCTGATCTTTCATGTCCAGCACTACTCATTTTCTTTATGTTCTTTAACAGCTTCCTTCCTGCAAGGCTGATGAAATAAAGGCACAGAGTGATTGTTATAAGATTAGAAACCTTTTCTAAAATGAATTCTAAAACTAATACATGTGGTTTTGTGACAAATCTGCTTTCGATCCTTCTTCCAGACTTTGAAACTACATTCCCTTGTCTTGGAAAGTTTGTAAAAATATAGATGCTGAAGAAAATTTTGGACAGTTAGCCAAGGAGATGGAGCCTATATTTGATTGCATTTCTTAGTTGTGCTTAAATCCAAAGGCCCTTCAACACTGCATATTAAAAAACAGGGTCTGTGTCTACAATGACAAAATACATTAAAAAAAAAAAAAGCGACGGGAGTCTGAAAAATCAAGGCTGTAAAGAGCAAAAATATTAAGAGCTGACTAAAACTCTGGAAATAAAACAAGGGAGCATATTGCCACTGTTTTTATGAACTTCCACTTAATGATGCGGAAACTCTGCTCGTGGCAGGTCCAGGAGCTGCACAAGGTCACATCTTCAACGAGGCTGAGGCTGGGACTTGAGTCGTCTCCAACCACCACAGCAAGATGGCATTTGGAAGGCGTGCAATAACTACCCAACATCTCAGTGGAAACCCCTTCACGCAGCCTCACAGGGAAGGGAAAGAAACCCTGACTACTGGGATTTTATTTCTCACCATTGTTTAATGTGGGGTTTTTTTAGCTAAAATTTGAACTTACATAAGCAATCCTGAGCTGCCGCCACGACCTTAACCTTACAGTAGGTAATACAAAATGAATTTACTACTCTGGAGCTCATGCAGGAAGGAGCTGAAGGAATTTGAATCTTAATTTGAATTTCTCAGCTTTCTTCCTGAAGATGCACTCCTCAGACAACCCTCCTGGCAGCCCTGCTGTACATGCTGTAATTTTCCACTTAGAGGTCTGAATTCAGGACAAACGAGAGCTGGTCCCTGAGAGAGACACCAGGGAAATGGGTTAAAAGTTTAGTCTACTTTGATGGAAATGAGAGGAAAAGTGAAAATATTTACTAAAACCACCCAGCCATGGGGAACAGCTATGGAAGAGAGGATGGGAATAAGAGAATTTTTCGGTAAATGCACACAAAGAGTAAAACACGGTGTTTTGAATAACAGTACTGACATTCCTGAAGGTACTTGTACATCTGCCTTTTCCTATTTACCCTATAAATACTGAATTCCTGCTACAATAGGAATATTAGAAATAGGTATAAGTTCAACCATGGAAAACAAACAAAGAAGGATCAGTTTCCACAAAATAACAGCTTGGTAAAAGTTAGAGATTTCAAAGTCAAAGAAAAGGAAACCCTTTGGTTTGGGTTTGTGTGAGAAGGTTGTGGTAGTGGAGGATGCCAGAATTTTCCCGATGGTAAGTGGCAGGACTTGTGACCTTGTGGGGTCTCGTTGCCCTGCTCTGATTTGATTGCTAAAAATTAAACTAATTTCCCCCAGATGAGCCTGTTTTGCCCATGATGGTAACTGGTGAGTGATCTCTCCCTGACCTTTTATCAATCCATGAGCCTTTCATTATATTTTTTGGTGGGTACCAGGCAGGGTCAACCCACCACACCTCTTTAAACCTGTTTTCTTTCTTCATAAAGAAAATAAATAGCCCTTCTCAAAAGTGCTGCTTTAAAGGAAAAGACCAAATTATTTTCAAAAGCTTCCAAGCTACAGGAAACGAAGTTGAAAAGGTGTATTTTCTTTAGGAAGCTCAAAACACTGTTGATGATGAGGAGTTTCTGAGCTCCTTCCCTCAAAGGGCAGGTGTGTGTTTGCCTCAGGGAAACAAGCAGCGATTGAACATCGACAGAACGGGGCTCCAGACAGGAGAGATGGCAGGAATAGGTTTTATTTCCTTTCCTGAGACAGCACTGAAAAGGTTATGAAATCTAATTTGCTGCAGAGGACGTAACCTGGTGGTTAAAGCTCCCTTACCAACACACCTGAAAGCGTCTGGCTCAGACTTGAGCAGCATGAACTCAATCTCCCCTCGGGCCGCTGCTGCTCCCTCACACTCCAGACACTGCAACTGCAGAGCCCTCTGGATCTGCTGACACATCCAGGAGCAGGATCCCATCTCACCTGGGATTGCTCAAGGCACAGAGGCCAAGGAAAGTGCAGGAGGTGATGATTCTCTGGGGGACTCACCCGCTGGTGGGCAGGGGGGGAGGTCGTCGGGCTGATCAAGTCCTGGCTTTCCATGAGGTTCCCGTAGTCGGCTGTGCTTCCTTTGAGGGGCAGGGGGGGAGGAACGTCGGGGATGTCAGAGCTTGACATTCCATTCAGCTCCAGATCTGTAGAAAACAACACTGAGTTAACTCTTTCAGCAACTGAACCCCAGAATCACAGACTGGTTTGGGTTGGGAGGGACCTTAAAGCTCATCCAGTCCCACTCCCTGTCGTGGGCAGGGACACATTCCTCTATCCCAGGTTGCTCCAAGCCCCATCCAACCTGGCCTTGGACCCTTCCAGGGATGGGGCAGCCACAGCTTCTCTGGGCAACCTGTGCCAGGGCCTCCCCACCCTCACAGGGAACAATTTCTTCCCAATCTGAATCTCCTCTCCTTCAGCTTAAGGCCAATCTAACCCAAAACTCCAGCCTGAGCCAGTCCTCGGGGTGCTGATACTGTGATAAGGCTGCACATGCATCTCTCTGCCTGCTCTCCACGGCCTCTATAATTATCCACAGCTCATCTAATGAGGAATTCTAAAGGCAAGTAGAACAAATGAACCAGCCCCGTGTCAGTGGGAAGCTGCCCTGTGGAGTCATATTGGGCTCATTTTAAAATGCCCTGAAAATACTTGAACGACCCCCTATTTTTTTACCAGAAAACAATTTTTACTTCAGATTTCACACCAAAATATTAATAGCTTAGCAAATATAATTTCCTCAGCTGCAAGCTCTGCATTTTCACCTCGTACATTAAAAGTTTTGGGAAGAGCAGTAAGAAAATATATCAAGCTAAGCTTTATTGACCTCCCTTCAGTAAAATAAAAGCTCCTTGTTAATAAAATGCACAAATGAAAGCCCAGAATTAACTACATCTCTCTCAAAAAACTTTCAGACTCCAGGTAACTATAATAAATGAGCAGCCATTAGTCGCTGAGTAAATAAAATCACGCACGAGAAAGTACCAAACATTTATTATTCCTGTTTGCAGAGGAGAAAGTTCCCTTTTCTTAGCAGATAAATCCTCCCAGGTACGTGCTGGAAATAGCCTGAGGGACAATAAAGTTTATTGAGGCCTGAATGATACATAGGTTTTTGGGTAGAAATCCACCCACAGTGTATTTCAGGGTAATTCAGTCATTTTCATACCCACTGTGATCTCGACAAGACAAGAAATTGAAATTATTTTCTGTATATCAGGGAATTTTGTTGAGGAAAAGAAGAAAGCTGGGGTTTTTTTCTATTTTTCAGAGGTGATTTCTGAAGTAAGTGTAGGCCTTGTTTATGCAGGTATTTTTATTGCAAAGTTCACATCACTATCTTATTCAAAGTGTGATTTTTTTTTTGTTGTTCTCTAAAATGTCCTCTCACCGACACCATTAAACTCTAAGGTGGCTATATTGATTTGGCACCGAAAACTCTCATTTTACTCTTCATACTTCTGAACTTTCCACTATACCGAAAGAAGAATATTTTCCTTCAAACTTTCAGTGGCCTTCTCCTCCATTAGGATGAAAAATGTTATTTGTCCTCCAGGACCTGAATTTCTCACGGCTTTTTCCATTGCTCCTGTTTTTCGTCCTTCTTTTTCCACACACAGAGGATTTCTCCATTCCCCAAATATACTTCTAACACTTTCCTTTAGGGATCTCCATGAGAATCTACTTCTAAGCTCATGTCATTAAACACATAGCTGGAAAACCACCCCATGCGTTTGTAACTAAATGTTGATGCTGGAAATAAACTTCCCTTTCCATTCTGGCGGATTTTCTCGTCATTCTGCACATCTAAAGACCCCAATTCGAGACCATTAACGTCACACATCCTGGGTATCTCACCCTCAACTACACACCTATCTATTTATATATCTTATCTAGATCTATATATGCATTTATTCAGTTGGTGTTTTCATGCAGTTTAGGAAAATAGTGGGAAATGTTTGGGAAATGGCGTTTTCTTTAGAGTGTTCAGCTGTAACTTCAGCAGAACTTGAATCCTGCTTTGGAAAGAGAAACCTTCTTTCCATATTTACTAAAAACAGGCCATGTTTTTAGGTCTCACTGAAGACAATCCTTGGGTGGAAACTGAAAGTGAGTAAAATAATACACTATTACCCTGAAATAAAGTGAATGTAACTGCCCTGAACACTTCAGCTTTGCATCTTACGCGATATTTCTTCAATTAACATGATACAACACGATGTAACTTCCAGCTTCCTCTAAGCCATTGCACGTGGACTAAGAGGGCTAACAAGAGGATGGGAACATCAGTTTTTCCAGGAGTTACCCAAATCCTTTGTTTCTTTTAAAAAAATCTTTGGAAGATCCACGGGAAGGCGGGTGAGGAATGTTTTCACTCGAGCTGTAGAGGAAACAAGGTGTGGAGCCAACTCTGCTGGAACAACCTGGATGGGCCCCAACTGTCCATTCTGCTTCTCTGCCTTTCCCAACACTCCCAGCTCCTGTTCCAGCTCTGATTTTCTGCAGCCCCTGCTGTGTTCCACACCTTCCCAGCCTCATTCTGTTGCAAGACAGCAATAAATCCCTGTAAATGTGGACAGAGCATTCCCATCCACATGAACAGTTTGTAACACTCACTGACAATATTCGCATTTAGCCTGGAAAACTATTTAGCAGAACAACAATATTCTATATTGAAAAACAATCATTTGCCCCGACTAACTGATCTCTCCAATAATTTAATGCAATCCAGGAGACTTCTCCCCTTCTGCAGAAACAGGTATTGAACACAAACTTCTGGAATTTTCAGTTGTGTTTCCAGAACATCCCATTCCTACAGGTCTATTCATTTTCCTCCTGCTTAATCCAGCTGAACTGAACGTGGTTACTCTACAACATAATACAAATAATTACTCAACATTTTCGGTTTTGCTGTCGTTATTGAAGGTGTTTCATCAGAGGAGTGTGCTCTGACTACTCATTCCCTGCTGGACATGTGCCACTTGGGAAGATCTCGGAGCTGGCCAGAGATCAATTAGGGGACTTCTTTTATCATCTTAACCTAATGATCACATTTTACACTCCACTCTCCTAAACTGCCAACTAACAAGCAGCCAGGACTGCTCAGCAACCCACTAACTGCTTTGAGCCCATCTGTGCACTGCAGTAACTTCTTTATCCTCGGAATTCCTACAAAATTTCATCTCTCCAGTTCTTCAAATGATTATGGGGCAGTGCCACAGATTTTGCAGTAGGCTGATCCTATCTTACACAACACTCATCAACCCCCAGCACATTAATAATTGCAGAAACACATGATGGCTTCAGATAATTTTTCTGAAAGTATTAATAGAACATATACATATAATCCAATTAAACATTTCTTTTCCAGGAGTATATATCCTCTACTTCTCTGTACTTCCAGTTTATTAGTAGATTTATTCCCTACTTCTTTTTTACTTCCATTTTATTAGTAGATTTATAAAACTGTAAATAAAAACTATAAAACTATAAAGAAAAAACTATAAAACTATTAAAAATAAAACATAATAATAATTGTTAGATATTGTATCTACATAATACACTTATAAAACTGTAAAGAAAGGAGAGAGTTAGAGCTCAGCAACATCAAAATGCTTGTTTTGGGGCCTGGCTATTTAAAGGAAAAGGTTCCAAGTATCAAAAATAGTAGACAAAAAAACCATCAAACAAGATATTTTTTCTTCAAACTCATCTGTTCTCCTCTTTACTAACACTGAACTCTTGACTATTGTACCAGGATTTGGGTACATGCATCAAAAAGATCTTTTTTTTTTTCTGCTTTTTTTGTCACATGCTGGCAACTGAAAACTCTGAATAACAGTTTTTGGAAACCAGTACTGTGAAAGAAATAGGTGCTGGATGGCACCCAGCTTTGCAATTGGGTTTGCTGAAGACTGGAGCAAACAGATGATATTTTACAGAAAAACTGAGTGACAGATGTCAATGTCAAACAAAAAACACATCAGAAAGGCTGACCTTTATTTTTCCCATCTGGCTTGTACTCACAATGGATCAAAAGCAAGCTCTTCTAAGGTACAATTACAGAAAAAAAGAAAAAAATATGACTTTTGGAGACTTTATGCCCTAAAACACCCAATACAGAATCAAGTAGAACACTGATTTTTGATAGTTACTCTACATCTAAATAATTGCTAATGATAACTTGACAGCAAACTTGTTCAATGCAAAAATTTGGCTTGGTTGTGTAAAAATGGAAATAATTTTAGCTGGCAAAGTCCACGGGGAAAAGGTTAAGGGGCAAGTTCTTGTGCCTGTTCTACCCACTCAACCCAAACCAATGAAATGCTGAGGAAACACGTGTCCCCACCAAAATTTTTCCAGGAGAAGGAAGTTCAGTTCAAATTAGAGACTTACTGGACTGGATGGTGAAGGAAAGCTTCGTCCTGGGGGTGATGGGGGGTGGGGTGAGCTGGGAGCTGGGAGGCGATGGAGACACGGAGAAACGCCGGTCACTGGAGATCACGTTTATGACTTGGCTTTTCGGCCTCTGGGGTCTCAGAGGGCTGATCTGGGTGGGGACAAAACCAGTGAGACAACATAAAAACACGCAGATAACTGAGTGGCAGACCTCGGGATTGCCGCATTTTCCTCCTGAACACGGCCAGGCAATGCCAACAGCCAACACTGCTGATCCAGGGCAGCATCTCACACCTCCAAGTGTTCTCCCCTTCTCCCAAGGAATCACAAGACTCCTCCCCATTGCCTGGCATGTTTTCCTGAAGCAATGAGAGGCTCTGTGACTTCCATCTGAATTCCCCAAACACTCACTTAATAACAGCCAAGGAAGCTTACAGCCTTACACGAGACTACCCGTCCCTCAAAATCTTTTCTTTCTTCTCATGTGGCTCTACTTCCTTCTTAAAATTTATCTCTGTAACCATTTGCATGGTGAAACTCTCTTCTGAGGAAGACATCATCTGTCCAGAAACACTTTCTTGGTTGTGCTTTTATTTAATTCACTGAAATATCCTTCTTTTTTTGCTCTGCCTGCGTCACAGTCCATTCAAATTTTCCATCAGAAACCCTGAAATGATACTTGTAATCTGATGAGCAACTAATGCATTTAGTTGTAAGGTGATTCTTCTTCCTGAGTTTAATTCTGAGCCCTACTGATGTTACCCCTTCACCCACCCCCATATTAACAGTAATCACAGCTAAAAAAGGAACTTTTTATTTCCAACAGATCCCCGAGAATGGAGCAGCAGCCTGAAGTTAAGAGGGGAATTACTCCCAAGGTGCTGCATTAGGACAAACCAGAAAATGCCAGAAGCAATTCAGGCTTTTTTAAAGAATTTTATCATTACACAATGGGGGTTTTTACGAAGTATGTGGTGAAGGAGAAATCTGAAATGACATGTAAGTGCTTCCTTTTTATTTCCAGAAGACAAACCCTAAAAGGGTTTGCATAAAAAAGACCCCTTCTACAAGAAAAGAATGACCATAAAGTATGTGACTTAGTTTTTGGAAAGTTCATCCAGACCTCAGGGTGACCTCTCTGAAATTTGCCTGTTAAGAAAACTCAAGTCCTGAAGAGTCCAAAGGTTTCTTCTTTCAAGGTCTTTCAAAGCATATTTTTAGCAGAATGGACGAGCAAAGTAATCGCTTTTTCAGAGGTATCCAATTATAAAAAAGCAACTAAGGAAAACACATTAATTGATGAGGAAAACTGACATTCCAGAATGAAGGGAAAAAAAACCCCAGCAACTGGACCATGTTCCCAAGTCAACCTGCTCCGTAGCCACTTAAATAAATTTTAACTTCGTCTGTGATTGACAATGTTGGGCCTCTTCTGAAAGCTTCAATAAATCACAGTTCTGCTGGGGAATATGAACCCTTTGGAGACACTAATCCATAATGGACCCATGGCTAATTTTTTTTTGGTCTAACGAAGGGAAGATCAATGGTGAGTGATGTCAGACACCACTAAATCAATGCGATGTACAGCCTGTTATTGTGATTTCTAACACAAGCCTTCGATGCTCTGTTAACTACCTGGCTCCAGTGTTAGCTTTGCCCTCAGCTCGTGGGATCAAAGAATTAGCAAAGAAAATTTATCTGGAAGAAGTTTATGTGATACTTAAAAGAAGATAATAAATCTCTGGAAAACTATGAAGATGTTACTGATCATCGTCAGACGCTGAAGTGCTTAATTCATCTTCGTTATCTTTTGTAATTAGGGCTTGGAGTTTGATCAGTCAATAAATTCACTGTGACTGGAAATTCAGAAAAGAGTATTTAAGCCATACAATCAGAGAAAACAGCTTTTGAGTGCTCCTTTTCAAAGCGCACGTAAAAGCCCCATGAAATAATTCTGCAGTTTCAGAACATCCCCATGTTATTCCAAGATGATTCGTTTGATTAGGAAAAGAGAAGTTCCTAAACAAGTCCATGGCAGTGATGGAAACACTCATTTCATCAGGCTACACCACAGCTGGAAAAAGCAGCAGAAGCTCTGCAGAGATGGGGTGACCACTGGCTGACATTTTTCTCACTTGATATTCTCTGTAAATTCATCTTCTGCTGTAAAATCCCCAAATATTGTAGAAGAAATAATAATCTGTTAAAAAATTCACCAAATAACTGAAATATTGTAATTGAATGAGCCATAGTACCACGAGTTCTAAAATTCTCACCAGAATTACTCCAGTAACTAATATAAAATCTACTAAGTAATAATAGTTTCTTACTAAAATCTCACTCTAAAAACCTCTTTAAATCTTTAATTTCCATTTATAGTCAAATCTGGGTTCCAACTTTTTTGGGGGGAAAAGAAAATATTTTAATTTTTTTCCCTCTCTCATCACCTCTTTTAAATTCAGCAAACTAAGAGGAACCAAAATGTCTTTTTCTTCATGCAACACAGTGGTAACAGTGCTTTGGGAGTGATTTCAACTTAAAAAGGGAATTTGAACACCAATGATAAACAATGGAGAAGCTGAATTCCCACCCACCATAACAATTTCCCTTCATATCATTAACGAGGGACGTCTCCAGCACGCAAAACTTTTAAGACAAATTTTATCTTTAAACTCCTTGATATTGAACAAAATTCCTGAAGACAGCAGTGGGAACTGGGCAACCACTCTGATAAACTGATCTCAAAGGAGGGTTTCCTCCCTTCCACCTACAAGAGCAGATGAGCCTCGCTAACACCAGGCATTAAAAATTGACTCCGTCGTTTTGGAGCTCATCAAGCAGTTTGGAGATGTTTGAAAAGGGAGAGTTTTTCTCTCAACAGTAAATTCCTTTTCGTATTATTGATCTGTGGATTTGAAGGAGCTCAAAGTAACTGTAAGTAACCAGTTCTGACATTTAACTTGCCTCCCTCTCCATAACCAGGGGAATATTACTCACACCACTCATGCACCGAAAGCTCTTCACTGGAAAGGGGAGAAAACTTGAGTCAAACCATGCTGGCTGGGCTTTGCTGATTTTTGCTCCTCAGATGACAAACGGGAATATGCCCTGGAGGGTTATCCTGCCCTCTTTTTCAGCTAGAATTTGTGTTTTTCCAATCTTTTTCAGTGTCCAAGACCTCTCTGAGATGACAGTGACATCTGATGACGCTGTCATCTGACCCCAGCATCTCTGGATGCCTCCCGTCTGGTCCATCTGACTCAGCTGCCCTGAAACACCACTTTCTTCTTCTGTGACTAATGTTCTCTGCCCACAAGCTCTGCTGGTGGGGTTGGGAGTGTGGGAGATGCCAGCTGAAGTCCTGCCGTGGCAGAGCTCAATCAGCCAAAACACAACCGCTGCCAGGTGCCAGGTCACAGGCATTGTGTCAGAAAGATGGGGCACGAGGAAACCCACGCAAAATGTCTGCAAACACTGCAGTGATGATAACCTGGCTGGCTTTGGCAGGGGGAATCTCCATTAAACAAATTTAGTCAATGGAAAAAGTCACTGGCTTCAAAGGTGAAAAGCCCGAGACCCCCACAAGGGATTTTATCAGAGTTTTTTGACTGGGCACATCGAACAAAAACAACTCTGATTTTCTAAGATGTTACAAAACACATCTAAGAGATTAACTTCTCTCTGAATGGGAAAGGAGGAGCAAATCCAAAAAATGAAGGAACTGTGGCTGAACAGCTAAACAATCTTCTCCCACAAACACCAAACAGAAAGACTTAAAGGATCCAGTTACCACGGATGAGAGAGAAATCATTTCCAAAGTCCACTGTAAATGACACAGCCATCAAAGGAAGACTCTGCTAAGTGAAAACTTGGCTCCACAAGTACTTGCACAAATCTTTCAAAGAACATGACATTTATTTCTGGGAGGCAAGTTTAAGACTCTTGGCCTCCAAACAGGTGTCCAGGCAGAGATTTGGGGGTTACGGTTGGTTCACGCGCCCCCTGCTCCAGCTTTGCTTTCATTTTCAGAGCTCCAACTTTCTCAGGTTACCTAAGCCTTTAGGACAGTTCCAGTGAATTAAACAGAAGCCAAGAAGAGAGGGTTTAAGGGAGATATGGCCCGTTGTTAATATTTTTACACACAGCCACCGCTGGAACCGCTTACGATTTTCTGCTCAAAATAACCCTTCGTGAACATGCAAGGAATGACCTTGGAATATTTCCACCCTAAACTGTCTTGCACCACTCAGCTGAAATAAGAGCAAACCCATCCCCATCTACTGGGAACCAGCAATTCAAAAGGCTGCTAAAATGGCAGCATTTATTTCAGCTGTGATATACCATCTGCTCCTTTTATCAAATAGTCACATATATAGCTTTTGGTTAAGATTTTCACATGAGGTATCATATTGATCTTATTACACTGTAAATAAAATCTGTATTTTCGATTCATTACCACGTATATTAACATTGCAATGTATTCCCTGAGAGTTATTTTTGGTCTACAAACAGTAAAAATCAACATTTTTATTTCAAGGGAGAAAGGACATCGCTCAGAATTAGATAAAGCATCACTTGTTAATAAAGTTACCGTCTCTGAAAGGATCACTGCCTCGGACTGCTGCAGAGAAATATCAGTAGATTTAAATTCTTTATCAAATATCTCTTGATGCTTGCTGTTCCTTTTCTCCTTCTTCTTTTCCTTCTTATCTTTATCTAGGTCATCCTTGTCCAATTTATCTTGCGACCTAGAATGCATCTTTTTTGGCAGGAGGGGCTCCAGCACGAACCTGAAGAAAAACGTTGTTGCTTAGCTCCATAAAACACTATTTTCAAAACAGCTAATTTTTATTTACACATTTCCCAAAGTCTCCCTCCAGTTAATGACTCTCTGCTAAGCCAGGAAAACTCATCAGAGAGAGAAGAAAGGGGCAGAAGGTCATAACAATCATAATTGTCTTACAATAAAATTCATTGCAGAACTGCTGGAGAGCCAGTGGTGCAGATTTCCCTGCTCTGCAGTGAATTTACTGGTTTGTGGCTGCAAAAATTCCTGAGTTGCACATAAAAAAATGAGGTTCTCATTCAGCATTCCCACTATCCAGGCTGTGGCACCAGCAGAGAGACAGCTGGAAATTCCAGCAGGAAGCAGCACTAAGAGTGCAGGTAATTGTACATTGTGTTAAAGAATCACAAGATGGTTTGGGTTGGAAGGGACCTCATGGACCATCCAGTTCCAACCCCCTGCCATGGACAGGGACACCTTCCACTAGCCCAGGTTGCTCCAAGCCCCGTCCAACCTGGCCTTGGACACTTCCAGGGATGGGGCATCATTTCCAGGGATGGGGCATTCTAAGCTAGACGAAGCATTTTATGATTTGTTTTATAATATAAACGAAAAAAAACCACTAAGATCATACCTAGACAAAATTACTCTGCCAGATTTTAAGAGACTGTCTCAAATCATCACATTACAAAGCCAAAACCAAACCAAAAATCCCCAAACAAAGGCACCTTTTAACACTGGAAAAACATTTCCCATGCCATGGGGAGACAGGTACAGGCCACAGTCTTTGCTGTGAAATACCAGAGTATTCCTATTCCAGACAATTTGCAGTGACATTATCCTAATCCCCTCCATTAGCTGCAATATCCAGCAGCAATATCCCAAATTATTATTATTTTTGGCTGTTATTTGAAGCACTAAAGGCCCTTCAGCTTGCAGCCTACTTTAGCTCATTTGATGTGAAGATGCTCTAACCAGAACCTGCAGCAGCAGCAGCCCCTGAGCCATTTTCCCCTCAGAACCAAAGCCAAAATCCCACAATTCGGGAACAAAACCACAGGGTTTATCCATCCCATTTTACAGACAGGGAACAGAGGGCCACAGAGTACTTCAGTGACACAGCCCTGAGCAGCCAACAGCTCTCCCAGCACCTTTTAGCCACCTGAATTGTGTATTTTAGGCTAAGCTGGGCCGGGTTGGAGGGTGGTTCCAGAGCCTCATAGGCTGATCTCAAGTTTACAAGAGGAACTGCCATTCTTCAGACAATGATTAATTGCTTCCCTTCCAGGCATTACTATTATTAGGGCTATTAATTTTTTGTAGGCAATGTATCCATGATAAAATGGGTCAGCACACCGTGCTCCAACTGGAAGAACATCAGGACTTGCAACAGCTGACAAATCCAACCGGCACCCTGGGACTTCCCCCCTTCCAACCACTGAGTGTAAGTGCTCAGATTTGTACTTCTACGTCCTGTTTTAAGTAGGGAATAAACCCAAGGTCCTTTTTAAAAGTGGGTTTTATTTATACCTAGAGTTGGGAGTTGTAAAACACATCCTATGTCAGTGCCTGCCTTGAGTCTTTACCGTTTAAAAGCCTCGAAGCAGGAGGAGCTGGAGGTGGTATAAAATATAGGTTGGGTGATTTGGACAAGACAGTCTGTTGGCTTCATTTTTAATTGCTTTTTAGCTTAATCTGTGTTGTAAAAATTAATATATGAAGAGGGGGGACCTGGAAATCAGAGAGAAGAACTGACCATAAATCCACTCTGGTGGGTACATAAAGGAACTTGTTCCCGGTGAGAATTGCCAAATCAACCACATGACTTAACAGTCACATGAATTTTTGAGGTCTTTCATGGTATTATTTAAATCTCTTGCTCCATTGATCAAGCAAATGAGTACTTTTTCAGATCACCTCAATGATAATGATTGTTCATTATATTTTCCTGTATCATCCTGGGCTCGGAGCAGGAGCTGAGATGCATCGGGATCTTTGTGAGTTGCTTTTAAAAATACAAACTGAGTAGATTCCCTGTGTGTATTTACACATTATGACCCTCCCAAACTGCTTAGTGACACTTACTGCACCAAAGCTAAGATGGAGAGGTGAAACTCGAGTAAATAAAATCCAATTAGAAAGAAAAATACAATTAAAGATTTTGAAGGGAAAAAGAGGAAAAAGTAGAGGCAGGTAGCGAAAGAATCAGTATTCTTCTTCTGGGATAAAATAAAGTTGCCCATTAACCTTTGATGGTTTTGCCTCTAAATTCCAGCAAGGCAAATCTGTGGATGAATTAATCAAAACACATGCTCACCTGTGCTGTCCTGCATTTACACCATGACTCCCTGTGAATACATTCTAGAGGCTGAACCGTGCTCTGCTTGCAGCTCTTCCCAACGGGCAAATAAACTGCTCGTCATCAAGGTCAGCACCACGTTGGTCCTCAGGTGCTGTATTTAATTCTACTTGATGCTTTTAGTCTCTAGTCAGGTAATAATAACTCCCCTCAGAAGGTGCACGAGGGACATGAGCATTTCTAGCACATCCCTGTATGTCAGCAGCCCTTCAGGAGGTTTTAAAAAACTGCTGCCTAGGTCAAATATTGCATTTCTGGATTACAGGGATGCCTGGGGGGGGAGGAAGAGGGAGAAGGGACTTCTGAGGCTGCACGGAAAGCCCAGACAGAAAACAGATTATTTTGTTCTTTGAGGGATGTGACTGTGAGACAGGGCTTATCAACAGAATTCCCAGTTCTCATGTGAAATATCTTGATAAGTCTTGAAGTACAATCTTGCCATAAGCAGCTTTTCCTCTGGCAGTAGAAGTGAGCAGAGGTGATTGAGCAGTTCACTAATCCCTTCCTTCTCCTGAGCTACACCTGGATGCTGTGACAGGGTTGGCTGCACAAGCATCTCATCACTGACTGCAAAGATCACTGCTGCACTAATACACTTGAAATACTCTAAAAGGGGTAATTTGTCTCCTCTTTTTTTTTTTTTCTTTGTTTGAATGTTTAAGGGGTTTTGTTTCACTTTGTAAAAAAGGACAAAGAAGGGCATTATATTTACCTTGGTTAAAAACCAGGACATCTTGAGATAAATGTCTATAAAGGCTGATGTTTTTACCCAATATTATGCTGGCACTTAAAACATCACAGAAAGTTTGGGTTGGAAGGGATCTTAAAGCCCATCTTGTTCCACCCCCTGCCATGGGCAGGGTCACCTTCCACTAGCCCAGGTTGCTCCAAGCCCTGTCCAACCCGGCCTTGGACACTTCCAGGGATGGGGCAGCCACAGCTTCTCTGGGCAACCTGTGCCAGGGCCTGCCCACCCTCACAGGGAAGAATTCCTTCCCAATATTCAATCTATCCATGTCCTCTGGCAGTGGGAAGCCATTCCCTGTATCTTGTCTCTCCATGCCCTTGTTCAAAGTCCCTCTCCAGCTCACTTGGAGCCTCTTTAGGCACTGGAAGAGCCTTCTCTTCTCCAGGCTGGACAATCCCAACCCTCCCAGCCTGTTTTCCCAGGAGGTGCTCCAGCCCTACGACCAACTTAGTGGAACACTAACCCAAACCCTATCCCCACTCCACTCCAGTTTGCAGAGTATTATTATACTGTGAACCAAATCTGGGATAAAATTCACTGGGAAACAACCCAACCACAAACCTTACACCTCTGAGACCAAACCAACACCCTGCTGCCACACTGGAGGAGTCAGGAGGATGGGAAGGAGTAACCCTGTGACAGCCCAGAGATCTGGGGATGAAGCCACCCCTCCAAACCCAAGGACAAGCCCTGCAGGAGGATTTCCCACTCACCCATCGGAGCCAGGCCGGGAGGGGGTGCTGTCTGAGGAGATGGAAGACACAGATGCCACGGAGAGGGGTCTGGAAGATGAGGGCATGGTGAAGGATCTCACCATGGAGCGTGGCCGACTGCCCCGCCTGTCCTCCAGGCTGGAGAGCTGCGGGACAGAAACACAGGATCTTAACTCTTCAACCACAGAATCGTATCATTGTATTTATACCTTGTGTTTAACAGCTGAGAAAGAGATTGTAAAGGAAATTTATTTAAAGGACTAGGAAAAAAATATTTAGGTCCTCATGGGGCACATGTGGAATTTTAAGCATATTCCATTAATTCAAGAATACTCTCAGGCACGTGTTGTGACTCCTGGGGACGGGCCTGTGCAAGGCCAGGAGTTGGACTCGATGATCCTTGTGGGTCCCTTCCAGCTCAGCATATTCATAATTCCTTTACTTCAATGTTTTTTAAATGCTTTTTTACATCTGGTCTTGAAAAAGGAGCTTTCCACAAATATTTTTTTAATCCATCTCTGCAATCAAAGTGATTGCCCTGTCAATATATTTAAATGAAATGGAGCTAACAAAAAAAAAAAAAAAAAAAAAAAAAAAAAAAAAAAAAAAAAAAAAAAAAAAAAAAAAAAAAAAAAAAAAAAAAAAAAAAAAAAAAAAAAAAAAAAAAAAAAAAAAAAAAAAAAAAAAAAACAAAAACAAAAACCCAAAAACACATTAAGAGAAACTTGATGTCAAAAATGTCAGGAGAGCCAATTTACAGAGTGACATCTGGGCGTAGAAAAAAAATACCTGAAAGTTTGGGGTTTGTTTCAGACAATTTCAGAGTTCTGAATATTTATCCAAGCTTTGTTAGTCATTAATAACTGATATATGCATAAAATAATTGAACTCTTTCAGTCAACAAATAAGAATCTCATGCTGTTTAATTACAGGTATATTTTCCACCCTGTCAACTACTGGTAAATTGGCTTTGTACAAGGAAGACAGAAGCGATAAAACTCCATCAATGCTGACAATTCTTCCTGTGGGTTGAGTGAAATTAGAGATAACGCCACCTGTGTATGACTTCCCAGTCATCTCCCTCATGATGTAAACGGGTATTATATTATTGAAGTGACTGACACGCAGCTATCATTAATGTCGATTATTCCTGTTCTCCTAGGGAATAAATCACCATTTGAACATTTTCCTAAATATTTTAGATGGGATTTGAAGGACCACGAACGGAGCGCCAGTTGCAAGGATGCCAGGAAGGCTGGCATGTTCCCTGTATGATCTCAATGTTCCCACTAAAAAAGCTGCCATTGCTATGGACAGAATCACAGAATAATTAAGGTTGGAAAAGATCTCTAAGATCATCAAGTCCAACCTGTGCTCAATCCCAGCCCAGAGCACCGAGTGACAAGCCCAGTCCTTCCTGGGACACCTCCAGGGATGGGGACTGCAAACTGGACAGCCCCTTCCAATGCCTGACAACCCCTTCAGTGAAGAAATTCCTCCTGATGTCCAACCTGAACCTCCCCTGGCACAGCTTGAGGCCGTTTCCTCTCATCCTGTCCCTTGTTCCCTGGGAGCAGAGCCCGACACCCCCCTGGCTCCCACCTCTCCACCCTCCCTCAGGGAGTTGGAGAGAGAGGGAAGGTCCCCCCTGAGCCTCCTTTCCTCAGGCAAAAGTGATCAGCCAATACCACCCAATCCATGTGGCTTTTGCCTGAATTATCAATTCTGTTCTCAATTACAAAGCTGTTGGCTGGTTTTTGGCCTTCCTCCACCTTGGGTAACACTCCCAAGCAGAACAAACCCCCCCTGGAAACACCACCAAATTCTGGTTGTACCTTGAAGATGAAATAGCAACTGAAAACAGTTTGTTGCAGTGAGAAAAGGATGAATTTGAGTCCTTCTAAAGCTCATTAAGTAGGAGTTACTGTTTAATGCCTGCCCACAATTAGGGTGATGTCAGAGGACACACTGATTGCACAGTCCTCCCATCCCTAAGGGAATCACACCTATGGAAAGGTGACATTCAGCTCTAGAAGAATCACATTAAGTGGCAATTTTTTAATGTGTTTTTGTAACCCAAATCCTTCAAAGTTGAAGAATTACCTTGACTTTTAAGGAACGGAGTCAGGCAATTTAGAAACTGTTCCCATGCTCAGAAGTGGAAGCACCAAAGCTTTTTCTACATCTCTTATCCCATCTCGGTATTTCATAAGTTGATGACCACTGAGAACAAGCAGGCAGTGCTTAATCTACGTGGCTTTTTTTAACCAGTGGGAATTGTGACACAAGAACACACAACTGGCTGCAATTTAGAGCAATTCCACATATTAAGGGAGGATGAAGTCAGGAGGTTCTTACCACAGCACGGACCCCGTACTGCTTCTCCACCTTGTCCTTCAGCTGCCTGAAACAAGCCTCCATCCTCTCATGGAACGGCCTCAGGGCCTCTGTCACCTTCTCCCCGTGGAGCCGGATGCCTTCTGCCAGGAACGGGATCTGGAATGCAGAGTTTGGCTGCTTCACCCCACCCAGTCCCTCCCAAGGGAAGAGTCAGGGCAGGGCTCTCACACGGGAGTAAAAGATCTCACGGAACAATAATTGGAGTCGTGATGATTGCAGTAATAACAGCAATAACAACAGTAAAAATTGTAAAAAAATAATTATAATAATGATAATCATAAAGATAAGAATATTAAAAATAAACACAACATTAAAATGACAATAAGGATTATATTATCATCATAGTAATCATCATCATTCATTGTATGAGACACAACACAGTAAAAAAGATCTAAAAATCTGTTATTCATGATTTCCCATCTTCTCTATCAACCAAAGTCCTTTAAATTTAATACACCCCTAGTGCTTCCCAGAAATCCCATGTTGGAGGCCCAGCTGGATTTACCAGACAGCCCAAATCCTGCTGTGGTGTCCTATTCCCAACCTCCTATACATTCTTTACTATAAAATGGCAAATTGAGGAATGATGAGTCTCACACCGGGTCAGTGAAATCAAATCCCTTCCCAGTTTCATGAGAATAAAACCTTAAAGAGGAAAATAGTTGTAAGTTTTCTTTAATAAAAGCTACTTCTAAACCTGCAGATGAGCTACATCCTTGGCCAGATCTATATTGCAGAGCAATACTGATTAATAAAACATACAGTTTTCTTCTATCTATATAGTTCTCCTTAGAAAAATTATTTTATTTTCTAGGGGAAGGAAAACAGAAGAGGAAAAAAATTACATTCATTCTCTTCTGTAACTGAAAATAATCCTTTATCTTCAAGGCTTCTGTCACAAAATATCCACACCAGCCCAAGATTATATAATTAGTTCAAAGTGTGGAGGTGTAGCTGACCTTTGGAAATGTTTTAAGAGAGATATTTTCATTCCCACAGCTATGCAGACACACCAGTAGAGTTTTGTACCTCCAGCTCAGGAAAAAGATCTCCTCTTCCAGGTCCATTCCAGCCCACACAGTGCTCTGATTCTAACTTAGATATTCTCTGCAGCAATCAAGCTAAGAGGCTTCTCCTTAATAATTCATAATTAAATCATAATACTGATTAAACCCAGATTTTTCTAATAAGACTGAGCAGCAATCAGAGGGAATAGCTTTATTAGTAAGGAGAATAATAAATACACAGATGAATTACAGATGAACAAACTCAAGAAATCTTATCAAGATGATTCTCTGGGATTTGGCACTATTTAAATGGACTACAAAGAGAAGTAAGAATAATTACTTTTTTTTTTAATGTAGTCACTTTATTTACAGCCACATGGATTTGAACTCGATAAAAAATAAATACTAAATTCAGAAAGTTCCCTTGCTCTGAATAAGTAAAAGAATTTCTAAATTTTCATAATTATCAGGCCACACTGTGACCCTCCTGTGTTGGAGCGGTAAGTGGTCACTTGGCTCATTTATTTCCAAGAACCTGTTGAATTCTTAAACATAATATTTTTTAAAAAAAATGGAATTACCAAGGTGAAGCCCAGGTGGGGTCTGAAGTTTCAGCTCTGAGATCACTTTTATGAGGAGAAAAGGATATCAGGAGCCTGTCCCAGGGGTGAGCCACCTCCAATTGGAAAATCAAGCAACATGAAGTAAATGACAATATTTGGAGGAGAAAAAAATGTAGAAGAAAGAGAAAGGAGAAGAGAGAAGAGGAAGATCAAGGAGAAAAGAGGAGAAGGAGATGATGATGATGATGATGTAGGGGATGAAGCTGAAGAAGATGACGAAGGTGAAGAAAAAGCAGCAGCAGCAGAAGAAGCCAAAGAAGAAGAAGAAGAAAAAGAAAATCTATTCCTTAATAGAACCTGAATTTAATAAACTTCCCATGGCTTTGCTACAGAGCAGCTGTGAGCCTGCTGAGTTGGGATATTTGGTCTCCCTGTCCAAAACCACTCAGTCCTTGAAACAATTATCAAGTGCAGGAAGAACCTTCTGACTTTTTTATCATTTTTGCTTCACCGCCTTCTCCCTACTTCAGAATTCTCCCAGCATCTCCTGTCCAGGCACTGACACAGGGAAATGTGGAGATGAGTGACATGGAATTTTAAACCAACATGAATCTTCAATGGAGACAGAAAAATTATTTTGCCACATTCATGATATTGCCAATTTTCTTCACTCTGAAGAAAGGGCTGGGCTTGCTTATGGCTCCATTTCAAAAGACCATCCAGGGTGTCCCTCACCTTTGGAGAGGTGAATGATAAAGTCATGGAAGTAGCAGAGCTAGAAATGAATGAGGTGAATGAGAGAGAAAACCAGCTCAAGACAGCACTTACTTATTTCATAACTCTACTCTTTGTTGATTTTAAAATTTTATCAAGTTCCACTGCAACTTCAAATTATTCTCTGATTTTTTTTTCCCTTTTTTAAAAAAAACCCTTGATCTGCTTGGCTGAAAAGAATGAAAAAAACCTATATTGATTTGAATTATTAAATGAATCTGAAATGACAATCTTTCATAATATGAAATATCATAAAATACGATCACTAAAACGTTTTTGGTATGCAGCAGTTCTTTCAGCTCTGCAGAAGCAGCACAAGATTTTTATGTGCCATGGTATTTTTATGTGTTGCTGTGCTGTAAATACATTAGTTAAATGTCCTCAATCATTCATTTCACTACCTTAATTTCAATCAATCATTTCATTATCCTCATGTTAAAATAAAAGATCAGCTTGACACGGTGCAGTTGCATGGGAACAGTTTTTCCTAAGTTGGAAAAGCACTAAGGGAGATGAAAATGGACTTCGCTTTCCTAATGGTATTTATCTGGATTAATAATAGACAGAACCAAAATGTGCATTAAAAGTTCACAGGAATTATAAAAGGATCATATCCTGAAGAGTATGAATTCCACAGCTCGATGGAGAAAGAGGTAAGGGCACAGTAAAAAATTATATTTAAGTGGTCAGCTGATAATGGGATTGTCAGGCTCCCACTATTTCATATCTCCAGATTGATTTATACAGCACTGAGCAAATCTCGGTGTGATTACAAACTCCAAGCCCCACATTAGTGAAAAATGAAAACTCATTTTTGCTTTCAATCACTGTCAGCCCGTGATGAATTCGGCCCCTGCCTCCCTCCCAAAGCTTCCTCACACCTCCCTCTCCCAGCAGCAGCCAATGCTTGGGAGCCAAATCCAACCATTTCAGTGCTGAAAACTGAAATGATGTGAGAAGGAGTTTGAATTTGAGGATACCCCAAATGTATATGAAATATTTACAAGTGCTGAAAGGGCTTTTCTAGTGACAAGAAATTTCAGATATAAAAATTATTTTTGATCCCTTTTCCCTATTTTTCTGTTTCCCATTGGTTTGCAACTACAAAGCTGACAAGAAGCCATGTATTTTAAAGCACTGGATAATTCAAATACAATGTGATTAGCTGCCATATGTATTTCCAGACTGCAATATTATTTTCATACACAAATGCCACCACAGTGAGTCTTTGCTGAGGAAAAGTGTGTTTGTAAATTCATTTGAAGTTTCAGTCTCAGAGAGCTGACACCAAGTCAGTCTTCTGGGACCAAATTATTTTCCTCTATAAAACTTAAAGCCTATAAAAATCTAATCTTCTGTAAAAGCTACAAAAAATAAATTAATAAATGTCTTTTTTTTTTTTTTTTCAGACCAAAAGAGTTTTTATTCACTGATAGTTTTATGGCCTTCAGAGGATACTTTATTTTTGAATTCTGTAGCTTTGGTTCTATCACCTCTAAGACTGAAACCTACAGGAATGTAAATTATTCCCTTTGTTATAAAGACCAAATTGAATATAAAAAGACAATGATTCACTTTCTTATTCTGTGAGAGAAAAATATTTTCCAACCATATTGGTATTTTCTTACTTATCATAAATTATCCTGAGACCACTTGACAATGTCCAGTGGAACAAAACTGGAATTGTCTCGTTTGCCCTGAAAAATGTTTTTTCATTTGATCCAGATGGGAGATTTTCATTGTATTCTGGTCATTAAAAAAAAAAAAAAAGGAATTAAAGAAGCTGACCATGTTTGTTCCTTGTAGTTTTATCTAATGAGAAATGATGGCAGATTTGAAAAGATGCTCTTTAGCTCAAATTCCAAGATGGATTTAAATGGCAAAGAAGTGTATGCAGGGTGAGGAGTTTAAGGTCTGGATTTTCTCAAAGTGACACTGAGATGCCTTCCCACAGCAGTCGGCTCTGACCAACCTGACTTCAAATTTTTTACCTGCCAAGCGATGAGATCCTTCAGCTTCTCAATCTTGTCATGATCTTCTGGATGCTCGTGCATGTATTTTTCAGTAAAAAAAGCCTATTAAAGGGAGAGAAAGGAGCAGCAATTTCAGAAAACGGATCAACATCTACTACCAGAATGAAAAACAGCGAAGATAAATGAATGGACCTAAAAGTTCTGCGAAACAGCAGTAACAGTTCCAAACTGAAAATTAGGGAATCACTAAATCCCAGAGTGATTTGTGTTGGAAGGGACCTTAAAGGACCTTAAAACCCATCCAGTTCTACTCCATGCCATGGGCAGGGACACCTTCTACTATCCCAGGTTGCTCCAACCCCCGTCCAACCTGGCCTTGGACATTTCCAGGGATCCAGGGGCAGCCACAGCTTCTCTGGGCAACCTGTGCCAGGGCATCAACACCCTCACAGCCAACAATTCCTTCCCAATATCCCATCTATCCCTGCCCTCTGGCAGTGGGAATCCATTCCCCCTTGTCCTGTCCCTCCAGGCCCTTGTAAAGTCTCTCTCCAACTTGTTGTCCCTTCAGCTCCTGAAAGGCCACAATCAGGTCACCCCGAAGCTTCTCTTCTCCAGGCTGATCAATCCCAACTCCCTCAGCCTCTCCTCCCAGCAGAGCTGCTCCATCCCTTCTGACCATCCTGGTGCCTCCTCTGGACTCTGTCCAACAGATCCACGCCCTTCCTGTGCTGGGGCCCAGCCGAGGCACCGCAGGACAGGGAATTCTGCCATTACCTTCTCGTAGTTTGTGAAGCCTCCCATGACCGCGGGGTCCACGATGCCGTTGAGCAGCATCGACAGGGGGTTGATGGGCAGGTTTGGATCATTTAAGTGCTGCTGAACCATGTTATTGATCTTATCATTGGTCAACTGCATGGTCTCTATCGCGTTTTCCAGTGGGCTGATTTCAACCTGAGATCAAAACCGAAGGTTTTAATCAAGGAGCGGAGTTTTAAACCGGCTGTTCATTAAACCATCACGATCAGAAACACTTCTGGAATTTCACAGTTTCTGATTTTTGACCAGTAATTACCAGAAAGGACGGTTTCAGGCACTGAGATATTTGGTATCTCTCTCCTGAGGTAACTGGTATGATGGTCAGTATCAGAGGAGAAAGTTAAATGCATTTTGCTGCTGCACCGTGGATTACAACCCAGCACAGCATTTAGAAAGGCTCTGGCAGGAACCACGTGAGGTTTTTGGAGGATTAGGGACAACATCAGAGATTAAGGGTCGGCGAGTTTTAGCACCACAAAGAAGATCCAGCTTAACATAACAGCAAGAAAGAAATGATAACTCTAACGTGGATTTTCTGATGGAAAATGTAATCCTAAGCAGCTCAAAAATCAAGGAGATATCTCTGCAGCAATTATTTTGGTGTATTTCCAAGGACATCAAGTTTAATGTGCTGAAGAGATGACATCTAAGCAATCTGCTGAGCTTTTTCCCAGGGGGTCACATTTTCTTCATCAGAATGTTGAGAACTGAAGGGAGAAATTTCCTTTCTCCCACAGCCTGGACTTCAAGGAAGAGAACTCCTCAGATATCTTCATGGGGTGAATTAGCTCTTGCACTGTCTAAAACTTGCTTATTTTAATTGACTGATCTCCAGCAATTTTTTTTAATGCCCAGAAACTGTGTCTTTTGGAATGACAGTTGTTCACGTTGAAAAAAAAACAGTATTAACATATTTTAAGTATTAATGAATGGGCTCAAAATTACTAATTTGCAGTGACCCAGAGTGTAGACAGTCCTCACTGGAAGACACAACCTGCTTATGTTGAAAAAACGATGTGGTAGGAAGAGAAAAGGAAGGTTAATTGAGGCCTGTGAGGAAAATGCAAGGGTATATTTGATTACACCCTCATCTACATAAATGCTACATAAACAAAGCAGCGCTTCTACCTGGCTATCAGTCGCTTAGCCTGTTTCTGAGAACCACTTATAATCAAATCTCTTTAGTTGTTACTCTTACACCTGCCAGCTGATTACATCAAGGATGTTTTAATTAGCATTTTTAGCAGCCTGCCTGGTGAATTATTCTGGAAGGCAGGGAAGGAGCCTGAGGTTTCTGCTGGGAACAGGGAGCAGTCCAGGCTTGGACAGAGTTGAATGTGCCACGGGGGAAGCTGGGACTGGGAGAGTAAAGCCATATTCCACATCTGAAGATGTGTCAGATCAAGAACTGTTGTGAACATTACAGGCTAAATTTAGGATTCTGTCATTTGTATTAATGGGTTTATAATTATGCAATAATGTGTTGATGAACCATTGCTTTTAAAGCTCTTGAGCATCTACAGAAATCAGCACTCATTGAGCTGACAGAGCTGCTCTAACTCTTCTGCAGCAATCATGGCTTTCTCTCTCATTCTCCCTTCTTTTACTACTCTTATAACCCTCCCTCTACTTTTTTAAAAGCAGATGGAGAATTGCACTTCCCACTACAATAAACTGGGCTTTGGCACTTACTGAAAGCTATTTATTACACGTGTAAATTATGAGCCTTGTTCCAGTGGCTTGCTCACTCTGGGCCAGGAATTACATACTCCTGCTACATTTGCACCACTACAAAATTACAAGATAAGAACAAAACAGAGATTAGAATTTGTGCTTTTCAAAACCCAATATGAGTCCAAACCCTGTTTCTAATTCACTGGCTGGCCTCAGCAAATTTTTCCCATACAACTACTTGTGTCCAGCTAAACCAAATCAGATACAGAAGAATGAATGTGGACCCCGAATTTCTGGCAGATAATGAACAGACTAAAAGGGTTTAGGCAAAAGTACTCAGAAGGAATTTTAAAAGCCAATAGATTTAAGGCAATTCTGCATGTTCCTATGGGTTATGTAACATAATACACTGCATTTATTAAATTACTCAGCTCTCCCAGCACTGATTTGATGTGATCTCACCTCTTCCTTTAAAGATATCCCCGTTCCATCAATAAAATATGAAACGTGCAAAGCTGCTTGGATATCTTGGTGCTTAGCAAAAGATCAATAATATCTGTATCCATAATCACAATTTAGCATTACAGGGATGTAACCTCGTGATCCCACTCCCAGCCTTTTAGCTGACAGGGATCTTGCAGAAAGTCAATACCCATTTTGTAGTAACTAAGCCAGAGGAGGTCAAAAGTTATCTACAGCTTGTCTTCCCACTCAGGATGAAGTTCCATTCTGCTATCATTTTTCAGCTGTGCAACTAATATAATCCTGACTCACCAAATCTCCCAGGATTTCTGCCCATTTGGATGCCAAGCAGAGTGTTAGGGGTTGTGTGGACACAAACTGCCTGTCAGGCTCTGCTCTGGGCTCGTCAGGAGAAGGGACTTTCACCACGTTTGCCAGCCTTTCCAAGCAAGACTTTTTGCAATCAAGAAGTTAAATGCAATCTCCTCCATCAGGATTGTATTGAAACTACAAAATTCATTAAGAATTCAATGTGTTTTATTCAGCTGCCTATTACTGTCACACATCACATTCATATTCTGTTACTATAGATACCATAGTAATTTTCTGCATTACTTCTGTTCATCCAAATACAACTGTCCAACATAACCTCAATGGAGCAATGAAAAAGGTTTTAATTAATCATATGCAAATTGTTCTTTTCCTTTAAAAATAAGCCTCACAAGAGAGATTTAAAAACCGCAGTAACAATGTTTTTATTGCTCCTTAAAAATTACAGCTGTGTAAGAATAATTTAATCTTAAAGGCGTTTAATGGATATGTCTTATCTAAACAGTCTAAATGGTTGAACAGAGAAATGAGTAATTTGGAGTTACTCTGTGAGGTTGCAGAGGGTATATTTAGCTAAACGTGGTGAAGAAACAAAAACAACCTTTAATCACAAATGGTGAGAAAAGCAGACACATACAATGAATTTGATTTGTGGTATATTTTGGATAAATGACAATCAAAATACCCAAATCCAAAATACCCAAATTCAGGCTCGATTCATTAGGATGGGGCAGGGTTCCCCTACACCACCTCAGGTCCTTCTTCCTTTTAGGGCTATACTGGCCTGCTGGGAGCCACAAATACTTAATAAAAGTGCTCAAGAACTTAATCAATCAGCCCTTGCCCTAATGACTCAGGAGAGCTGGCTGCACTCCTGGCTCCCTGGCTCTACAACCCCCCCATTTTTTTAAGGCAATCTCAATAAAGCCAAACTGATCTTACCATGAAGACCGATTTGACTTCAAACCACCTCAGAATCCCCGGTAATTTATAGGCTGTCACGTAGATGGTTCTCTCGATCCACATGTTCTGCAAACGGAACAGAAGCCCCACGTTATCAGATGGACAGCTCTGAACTCAAGCAAAGCCTTGAAACATTCTCAGCAGGAAAAGGAACCACAGCATGACAGACAGATGTGACAAAGCCAGGGGGGGATATCAAATCTGCTTGTGGGGGAAGATGCAGCAGCACTGATTTAAAACCAAGACGTGACACCTTCCATGAGTTCAGGTTGCTCCAAGCCCCGTCCAACCTGGCCTGGGACACTTCCAGGGATCCAGGGGCAGCCACAGCTTCTCTGGGTAACCTGTGCCAGGGCCTCCCCACCCTCACAGGGAAGGAGTTTTACTGACCATTAGATAAAACATATGCTTTAGTAAAAATGACAAAAAAAAAAATCAAGAAAGGTATTAGTGAAAAAAGATCTTTAGATGCCTGACTGGAATCTTCATGGCAAGGGAAGTCTCAAAACAGCTGTAAATATAGCTTTGCCCATTTTTTTTCCTATTGGTACAAAACAGACCATGACAAACAGGTGTAATTGAACTTCTAGGAAAAATAATCACTTAAAACCTAGAATTTATTTTTCAACAACCAGAAGATAATGAATGGTTCAGATTCTCAAAATAGAGGAGAATAAACAATCAAACCCAAAGTTTAGTCTATTTTCTTTAACATTTTTTACCGCGAATTCATTGTCCGGGTTTTTCTCTCCTTTTCGAACGGGGCGCGAATACTCAAAACGTTGGACTTCGTTCACCCTGTAGAAACTGGAAAAAAGGAAAAGAACCGTGGAATCACAGAATGGTTCAAGTTGGGAGGGACCTTAAAGACCACCTAGTTCCAGCTCTCAAAAGCACAGTGAAAATCAAACAGTCTCTGTTCAGGAATCGTTACTAAACTCAAGTGTTAGAAAAAGTTTATGCATAGACATAAAATGCTTATGGGATCACCATTTTCCAGTGGGTTGGATGGAATCTCTTACCAGTATGAAAAATTACCATGAAATGTCGTCACCATGACCACCCTCCTTGGCTTTGTACAGATTCATTATACAACAAGAACGAGTTTGTTATAAAGGAGACTGATAAAATCACAAACCCACCCCAAACTCACCTCATGATTTGCTCTGACACTGGCCTGTGAAATTTAGATGGTAAATCCAGTTTTGGCTTTACAGTGAAGCACTGAATATCTGAACTTGGGAGTTAAGAAATAAAAAGTGAATTTAAGTCACACAGAACAAGCAGCTCAACAGGAACACAAAAAAAGGACAGAACAACAAAATTTGCTTATTACACAGAATCACAGAATATGCTGAGTTGGAAGGGACCCACAAGGATCATCAGTCCAACCCTTGGTCCTGCACAGGACCATCCCCAAGAGTCACACCCTGTGCCTGAGAGCACCATCCAAACACTCCTGGAGCTCTGGCAGCCTTGGTGCTGTGCCCACTGCCCTGGGGAGCCTGTTCAGTGCCAACCACCCTCTGGGGAAAGAACCTTTCCCTGAGATCCAGCCTAACCCTGCCCTGACACAGCTCCAGGCCATTCCCTGGGGTCCTGTCCCTGGTCCCCCCCAAAGCAGAGATCAGTGCCTGCCCCTCCTCTGCCCATCCTGAGGAAGTTGTAACTGCAGTGAGGTCTCCCCTACCCTGGACAGACCAAGTGCCCTCAGTGTCCTCACACGGTTTCAGATCAAGGCCCTTCATCATCTTCACTGCCCTCTTTTGAACACTCCCTAATGGCTCAATATCTTCCCTACATTGTGTCCCCCAAAACTACCCCAATATTGCAGGTGAGGCCACCTCAGGGCAGAGCAGAGCAGGACAATTCCCTCCCTGGCTTGGCTGATGATGCTGCCCCTGATGCCCCCCAGGACAGGGTTGCCCCTCCTGGCTGCCAGGGCACTGCTGGCTCATGGACAACTGGCCACCAACCAGGACTCCCAGGTCACCCACAAGGGCAGAAGCGCAACATCCTCCTGCTCCCACTGGCCTTAAATCCTTGCCGTGTGCTGTTGGACCCGCTGCAGTTCCCAGTGTGCAGCCCAAGGATACACTGGCCAGAGGAGTTTTTGATGTCATCGCCCGGCGGGGACGTCGTCTTCATCTTCTCGGCGTTGGGGAACTGAGTCAGCAGCCTCGCCTCGAAGTCCTCACGTCGCTCGTACTCCTTGCCCCGGTAAATGAACACTTTGTTCTGGGAACAAATCGACACGTTAAATCCTGCTAAACACCCAGCATCCTCAGGAAGGACCTGGGATCCCAAAGTGTTGACTCCAGTGCTGTTAAGCGAGGAATTTCCCATTCCCCACACTGTGGTATAATCAATAGTTTACAAACATTTTATGCCGGCTCAGTAAAGCACAGATGGGTTTTCTCACCTTCAATTCAGTGCTGAGATCATTAAGCACACACTTTATTTTAGGTATATGTATAAACCACAGTAAAATCAGCTAAAACGTGATCTCAAGAAGCTATAAAATCGGTGGGCATTGAAAATATATTAAGACAAGTTATTTCTACCAAACCCAAGACCTCCTTCTGTAATTCCTCTCCTCCACCTTCCTTAGGAAATGGTGGAATGCATGCACATAAACAAGATTAGGCTTTTCATACATAAAAATATTAAAAGGCATTGAGGTGAGCAAGCAGGAGTAGTACAGAAAAAAAAAAAACCAAACATAAAAAGATGCCAATTTGAGGAGGAAGATCCAAAAATACTGACTCCTTTAGAAAGGTCGATACAGACATCATATTTGTGTATTACATTTTTGCTTTTTTTTTGCCTTTGTTGTCAGCACACAGCATAACTTTAAAACTAGGTTTCTTCTATTCGTAAGCATTGTTTTATTTCTTTAACAATAAAGAAAATTAAGACATATTTACACAGTCCCTTTATACACTGATTTAATACAATTCTAAAGAAAAACGCAAAAGATGATGCATATTGTTAACTGATCAAACATTATTAAAGTAAGTTTGGATAAAATTTGCATCTGAATATGCTTAACCTCGTTATTCATCTCAAAGTGAGCACTTGGTGAAAAAATTATACAGCACTTATTAAAAAGGGGTGTTACGACTCGGGGTAGAAACCTGGAATAGCTTCCATTTGCCCAGTTGGGTTTAATTCTGCAATGGTGCCTTTTGAAATGCTCAGCAGATGAAAGAATACTTTCAAATTGGGAAAAAATGGTAATAACAGATGCCTAAGAAGTCTCTACATTAAAGTGCAATTCATGTATATACACTTGTAATTCACAGGGAATACTGGAATAGAAATTTCCAAAGCAAGGAACCTTGCTGACCTCTGTGGAAAAAAACGGACACTTACCCTTATGAATGTTGGGAATCCCTGGCCATAGTATCCAACAGCAAAATAGTCTGGTTTTGGTCTTATGACTTTCACAATGTTTTCATAGAACTGGGCTTGCTTTCTCTGCAAAGTAAATTTAGGAGAAATTTAAATGGCCTGAACTTTGGGGAGATTCCTTACACTTAAGACCTAGATCTGTTTTATGGGCATCTCTAAACTAAAGATTCACTTGCCTCTTTTTCCTCAGCACTGTATCAGATTACATGGTGATATTTTTAAACACCAGACTCTGGAGCCATTATTTTTATACTCAGCTTGGGGAACCTGGCTGTGAAATATCCGATATCTCCGTTTTGATGAACCTCGTCTTGGGGAACCCCCTCGTTCTATATCCAGTATCTCCATACTGATCAACCTCATCTTGATGAACCTCCTTGCTCCATATGCAAGGTTTCACTTGCAATGAAGGCCAAGAATTTGGAGGGCAGTCTGAATTCCCAGTTGTGACGCCTCCAGTGCCGACACACCGGAATGACGAAGCCGCGAACACCAAAGCTCCTCTCCGTGGTGCTGACTTGTCACTTTTTGAGGCTCTTACACCTCATTAAATTTTTCTACTACTTCTCTTCCATATTTACGACTCTTAATTTGCATATGGAAAGCAGGCAGTTGAGAACTGCGGGAAAATGTAAATTTTGGGATAAACACACGCGTGTCAGACGCCATCTGTTTGGGACACCGACACTTCTTCATCTCGAATGATGAAATAATAACAAACGAGCAGCTTCACGAGATCTGTTCATCAACTTATTTTCAGTCTATTATTTCTGTAAAGAAAATGACTCCTGATTTGGGGGGAGGTTTATTGCTGCTCCCACACAACAGAAAACGGTAAATGGCGAGAAGATCACAAAGACCCAGATCTGCTGTGTATTTCTGAGCTCATCTGCAGCAAAACTATTTTGTCATTTGTGAATTGTCTTACAGTCTAATATTTAATATTGCTTGAATAAAGGAGACAAGAGGGAGAACAGAAAGAACAAAAAACTTCTACATTTTATTGTGGGGAGGAAAAAAAAGAGCTATTCAGCAGCAGCAATAAGAAAAGCTGATGGGGTATGTGAGACCTGACGCATTCAGGAGCACGAATTTGATCTTTGTGTTATGAGGGATGAATGCCCAAAGCACACCAGGACTAGTTTTTCTGACATCTCTCTAAATTTCTCCTGGCTGATAAATAAAGAGCAGATAAACTTGGTTGTCTGGTGTGAGGATTGGAAGTTCTGGGTTTCTCCTCCTCTAAGAGGGAGAAACTCCATATCCATACCTGGCTTAAATCAATGCCTGGAATTACGTCACTTAAACACTGATGTATTTACTATGCAAGAGAAACGGGGAAAAATGCATAACTTGGTGTTATGCCCCATCCCTGGAACTGTTCAAGGCTAGGTTGGATAGGGATTGGAGCAGCCTGGGATAGTGGAAGGTGTCCCTGCCATGGCAGGGGGCTGGAATGAGAGGAGCTTTAAGGTCCCTTCCAATCCAAACCACTCCGTCACTGTGTGATCACTGGCCATCAGCTACAATGAACAAAGTGTTAATTCCAACTTCTCCTCGAAAATGGATACAGAAGGGTAATTAAAGAGTAGCTGCCTCTGCCACAAACTGTTCATGTTCCCATGTTCAAGCATAGAGGAGATGGAAAATTAAAACTGAGGGACTCGGAGAGTAGCTACCCCCTGGTGAATAATCATTTCTGACACATGACAATCATCTCTAGCTGAGGAACAATCTGTTCCAAATTCCTTTTTATACTGAAATGAAGAATATCCTCTACTGAACAAATCCCTAGGACAACAGCGCAGGCCACAGACTAACAGAGATTCTGGGGGTGCACAAGGAGGGGGAAAGGGACACAGCCAGGACAGCTGATCCCAACTGACCCCAGGGATATCCCAGGCCATGTGGTGTCATGCTGAGCAAGGAGCAAGGGGATGTTCAGAGTGATGAAGTTTGTCTTCTCAAGTCACTGTTAACGTGTGATAGAGCCCTGCTTTCCTGGGGCTGGATGGATGGATGGATGGCCTGCACATGGGAAGTGGGGAATGAACTCACTGTTTTCCCTCTTAAACTCTCTTCATCCAACCCATTTGATTATTTACTTATTCTCACTTTAACTCTTCTGATTCTCTCTCCCATCCCACCAGGAGTGAGTGAGTTGGGGCCATGTGGGGCTGAGCTGCTCGTTGGGCTCAAATCGTGTCAACACAACTCTAAGTGCAAAGGTGAAATGTATCAAAAACCTGAACACTGAGCATTTTCAGAACCAAACTGGAGTCATGTCCCAGCTCCCACAGAAATGGTTGGGGCATTAGGAGGGACAGTGACAGTTGTCATTTATCTCCTTGGAAGAGAACAGGAGGAAAAAAAAAAAAAATGGTGCAGGCATAATGAATGGATAACATCAGGGCAAAAATAACTGACTCTAGACATGAATGCTGGGGGATTATTCATACCTAAAAAAAGAAATGTGAATATGGAAAGACACTTGAGAGAGAATGGGGATTTTTTCATGTTCCCATTTATATTTAAATTCCAAATTTCCTTTTATACCCCAAATAAATCAGCTTAACATTACTGAAATATTTTTCTTTCAGCTCAAAAAAATAAATTCAATCTTTTTCAGGCACTCCAGTGGTAGCCAGTTAATCAACATTGGTCCAACAAAGCCAAAACTGGCATCTATTTCTTTGTTTTACTGTCATAACTATAGGATTTTTGATATAATTTTAAAAGCTTTAGAATTCAACTCCGAACAAATTATTGCAGTGTCTATGTCATTAAAAAAACCTACCAGCAGTTCACTGAGTTGTTCATAATCAAACATTTCATTTTCATACTGTTCTGCAAGTTCTTTACCCAAGGCAATGGCCTCTTCCCACATCTGTCAGGGAAAAAAAAATCACAAAACAACAACAAAGAAACTGAATTACATACCTTGGTTAAACAACAACGTTAGAATAAACCAAACCTGAATAAAACACAACAAAATGCATTGTGTCTCATGCCTGAGAACACTGTGCATCTGAGGGGCCAAAAGGGCTGTGGCAGAGCTAGACACGTCTGTGCTGAGAGAATCACAGAATCAGGGAACTGTTTAGGTTGGAAAAGGCATCAAGAACCTTGAGTGCAACCATTCCCCAGCACTGAAAAGGCCACCACTAACCCATGTCCCCAAGTGCCACATCCACACATCTTTGAAATCCCTGCAGGGATGAGGACTCCACCACTGCCCTGGGCAGCTGTGCCAGGGCTGGACAGTCTATTCCATGAAGGAATTTTCTTAAAACTCAACCTAAACCTCCCCTGGCACAGCTTGAGGCCATTTCCTCTCATCCTGTCCCTTGTTCCCTGGGAGCAGAGCCCAAGCCCCCCCAGCTCCCCCCTCCTGCCAGGGAGTTGCAGAGCCAGAAGGTCCCCCCTGAGCCTCCTTTTCTCCAGGCTGAGCCTCCCCAGCTCCCTCAGCTGCTCCTGGTGCTCCAGACCCTTCCCAAGCTCCGTTCCCCTCCCTGGACACGCTCCAGCCCCTCAGTGTCTCTCCTGTCAGGAGGTGCCCCAGCAGTGCCAGCACAGGGACAGTCCCTGCCGTGGGCATGTGCCCACACTGGGGCTGGCACTGGGGCCATTGGCCTCTTGCCCACCTGGGTTCGTGTCCAGCCACTGTCACCAGCACCCCCAGGGCCTTTTCTGTTGGGCATTTCTCCAGCCCCTCTGCCCCAGCCTGGAGCGCTGGGTGGGGTTGTGGTGACCCAAGGGCACTTGGCCTTTTGGAGCCTCCTACCACTGGCCTCAAACCCACGGATCCAGCCTGTCCAGATCCTTGTACAGAGCCTTCCTGCCCTCCAGAGATCAACACTCCACTCAGCCTGGTGTGACCTGTGACCTGACTGCGGGTGCACTTGATCCCCTCATCCAGATCCCACGGCCTTTCCCTCATCCATGAGGTGGGTCCCACTGTCACAGAAGGAGATCAGGTTGGTCAGGCAGGACCTGCCTTCCCTAACCCCAATCTGAGTGGACCTGATCCCCTGGTTGTCCTGCATGTGCCATGTGACAGCACTCAAGGACATCCCCATGACCTTCCCTGGCAGAGGATGCAAATTTACTTGATGCAAATCAAGTTAAAGGATCCAATTGCTTCAGAAACAAAATGATTCCTGCCAGCCCAACCAGATAGCCACTAATGTGTAAACACAGCCTGTCCACAAAGAAACCCACAGGACCTTGGATAAATGCTGCTGATTGATTATATTTCATAACCACCTCTCTCTCCCCCTAATATCTATAATCTATATTAGACAGGACAGGCAATTTGCAGATATTGCTTTGAACAAATACTCATTATATTTCCATTGGTTCTTCTTCCTCTCGTTCTTCAACCATGAAATTCAGCAGCCATCTCAACTGACCCAAAGAAATTTAACAATATCCTTCAGCTCTTCAGAAGGCAACAATCTTAATGAGGAGCAGCAAGAATGGTTTTAAATGTGCATTTTTCATTTTTTTTTTCCTGCTGTAAAGATAAAGAACCACTCAAATCCAAAAAGATGCTTAAATTAGCACACCAGGCTATCTAAGATCATACTTGATGATCTGCCTCTGCTGCTGAAATTTGGTTGGCATTGCTGACCTCACTTTATTAAAAAAATGAGATGCAGAATGAGTTATAAATCCATTTAGATTGTATTAGCCTTCATCTTAAATTTAAATCCTCTGTCCATACCACCTAATTCTCCTCTCGGCACCAGGCCACATGTTCCCTGCCCTGGTGAAATACTGAGACGGAGCAGCAAAGAGCAGATGGATGAAAGAGGGCTGAGGGAAGGGGCTGAACACGCAATTCCCCAATTGCTCCCCAAAAACAGCCAGCTTTGAGAACGAGGAGTTTGAGATGAACCACCACAAACAGCAAAGATGGTGGGAGCTGGATGTGGGGAGAGAGAGGAGGAATGGTGCCCTGGGGAAACCTTCAGGTACACAACTGATTCCTGCATCCATCCCACACAAATCTCTCAATCCCACCCACTTTGTAAATAGGAGATACTTTACACCCCAAACTCCAAAAGCTCCCCAAAATGCACAAACGAAATGCCATCATTTAAAGTCCAAAATCAATGTCAGGTGAATTTTGTTTTTTGATCTGCAAGTTGAAATCGCACTTCTTAGTATATGAAGAAAACTTGGAAAAAATAAGACTTTTAGGAACATTCCTTGTTCTAGATGCTGATTTAAAAAATAAGAGTAAAACATTAAGGGTTCATACGACTGTCAGTGATGGAGACTGTTGCCAGCACAGGCTGAGGAGTCAGGCAGGGCACAGTTACCTCTGATTTAGGGGTACAAACTCCTCACTGAGACTTGTAATATCCTTTTTTTTTCCTAGGAATTGGAAATTTAGATCCAAATCTGACATACCAATGCCACAAGAACAAGATGTGGCTCGGGTCCCACGGGTCTCCATCCCTGCTCCTCCCTGGAAGCAAGGAGCCAGTTTTCAAGGGGAGGGCAAAGGATGGACTGAGGGATTGTCCTGGCAAACTGAAAGGGAAGGGCTGGGATCCAGCAGCCTGGAGAGGCAGGGACCTGCTGATGCTGCAGGAGACAAGGAGCTGCACAAGGAAAAATAGTTAGGGGAGAAAGGACAGAGACGATTTCAGAGACAAAATACAGGCTAGAAACTACACTGAGTGAGGGAACAGGAGCTTTTGAGTCCCACAGAAAAGGAATGGGGGTAAAGATGTTGGGGCAAACAGAGGCTGAGTGGTGACCTGATTTAAGACAAAAAAGCAGTGGATGCTCACGAGGAGCAGAACCCGGCACTGCATTAACCTTTCGCGATGTTCGACCCCTCCTCTTGATTCCTCTTTATTTCTACAACAGGGTTCAGAATATTATTTATCCAGGGAAGAGGACTGGAATGAACATGAGCTCCCTCATGTTTGTGAAGTGCCTTGAAGGTGAAAAACGCATCAGAAGGACTAATTACAATCACGGTAATGAGGGATCACGTCTGCAGGAAATTACGAGGCAGACTGTGGGCTCTGCAACGCAATCTTTGCAAATGGAAGGAGCTGAATGTTTTTATCCACATTATGGATCTAATCTAGCATGATGATACAGAGCATATTTTTATTTCTAAACAAAAATTAACATGAATTTAATAGCAAAGGCGCGCATTTTCACATACTGAGTTAATTTTGGCTCAGACGAGCAATATTCCACCACATTACAGAAACTGAACTAATATTCAGTTGTTTGGTAAGTCAGCAAGTGAAACCTTTCAAAATCACTTAACCTTTCCTCATTTTGATTGCCATTTTGTTTGGAACTTCAGTCATCCATTACTTTTGCATATTTTTGTTTCAAAGGCGACGGTGTTACCATCATTTCCCTTGTCTCAAGTGTGCCGGATTTAACCAGTCCCTCTCCAAAACCAAACCCCTTCTACCTCTTTTCCATTATAAAAATATTTCTAAATGATCTCAGGCAAACAGCTTTGGAGCTGAAAAAAACCCTGGAAATAAATGGAAGCCTAAATCACTTTAGATTTGCATTGACACTGTAAACAAACTCACCGGGTTCTTCCACTGAATCCTGGATAAGCACAGACACCTCAACGTGTTCCCAAAGCACGTCTGGGAATTCAAAGCCCCAGCTCAGTGCTAAGGCTGTGTCCATGAGTCCATAGGTTTACAGAATCATGGAATTGCTAAGGTTGTAAGAGTCCTCCAAGACCATGGAGTGCAACTGTTCCCCCAGCACTGCCAAGGCCACCACTAAAACATGTCCCCAAGTGCCACATCCACACGGCTGTTAAATTCCTCCAGGGATGGGGACTCCACCACTGCCCTGGGCAGCTGTGCCAGGGCTGGACAGCCCTTTCCATGAAGAAATTTTCCCTAATATGCAGTCTAATCCCTCCCCCGCTGCAACTTGAGGCTGTTTCCTGAACTACCTGGCTTCTCCCTTGGCTGTTTGTACAGTTTGACCACAAGACTTCCAATATCACCACAAAACAAACCCAGGTCGGTGATTTTTCCAACATCCCAAAAAGAAACAGGAACTGTGTGTCTCAAATCCCCTGCACAACCCTCTGAAAAATTCAGCTGTTTACTCCAGAGCCAATTTATTCAGGTGAGGACAGCACAGGGCTGTGGCACAGGATCCCGAGAAATGAAATCTATATTCTTGAAGGTCAATAACTCCCAATCTGCTGCCTCGCAGATTTCCTGCCTTGGAAGGTTTCCCAGGTTTGCCCAGGACATGGCAGGTCTTGTGGAGAAATGAGTCGTACGGGGAGCTGCTACACAGGATTTGTACGATGTACAACTCATTAACGTGAGAAACAATTTATTTGGAGAGGGGGCCAGAGAGAGAGAGGCTGCTGATAGTGGAAGCAAAATGCTTCTTTTAAACTGAAAGCATAAAAAAAATGTGTGCAGCCAGATTCAGCTGTGTGGACACGAGCTGCAAATTGTTATGGGAAAGACTTTGAAGATGCAAAAGGAGATTTTTTTTTGTAATTTTTTTTGTAATTTTTTTTTTGTAATTTTTTTTTTGTAATTTTTTTTTTTTTTTGGGAAAACCTGGTGATTTATTTTTCAAGCTAGATTGCTTGTTGCCCAGAAAGAACTACAGCATCCAATTTAGTTTTTGAGGTTAACAGCAGCAAAGGAGGATCTCAGGGTATTTCTTAGCTCCTGCTGAGTTAACGGTCAGCAGCAATGAAACAGTCTGGGATAAGAATATTACTGTGGATATTCTGATGTGTGAGGGACATTCCAAGCTGATTAAATTTCAGATAGCGTTAATTAACCAACATGCAAGCTTAATATTTTAAATAAAATGCTAAACCACAGTATTTCTCTGCCAGGTTGGAAAGCCTTTAAACAAAGAACTCTATTCATTTGGAACACGCTCAGACACCACATTTCTCCTCTCCAAAGACTGTCTGTCCTTCACAGCCCTCAGGACGGGCTCACACTCTGACGTGGGATCTGAGCTGGCCAGGAGCCTCGTGCTCATTTTTGGCAGACAGGTGAACTTCACCACTCTCTTGTTTGATGGAAGAAAAAATCCATTTGATGCCACCCCACGAGCCAGAAAAAAAAAAGGCATTTTAAGCCAAAGTGTGGCATTTACTGTGTAATTTCAAATATTTTGTGCTTTCTGGCTGCAGTGAAAGAGTAAAAGCTTTTTTTTTTTTTTTTTTTTTTCTGGAGGGGAGGAGGAAGGAGGAGAAGAAATAAACGAGCAGTGTGCATTTATTTACTTTTTTTCTCCTCAGGACCAACACTTTCAATTTATGAAGGAGCAGAGGAAAACGTCCTGATTTATAGACTGCGGCATCCACCGGCAAACCTGAGACGCATCGCTGTTCCTACGTTTTTCCGTGCAGGAGCAACAGTGCTGCTGCTTCCTTTATGGTTCCAGAGACCACAAGAAGCCTGTTTAAAATAACACCTTGTCTTTGTCACCGACACTGAGCATTCCTTGGCTTCAGGAGTTCATTGGCATTGACTAAAAGTGCTCCACACGGGCAAAATCTCACCCCTTCCCTCATCCCTTTATTGCCGGTGCTGTTTTTCCTTCTCGCCCTGAGATATCCCAACCCACCAATTTTCGGTAAAGTCCCTGGATTAAGGGCTTTGTTGGAAATCACAAAGCTTCAGGAAAACACAGAGAAAGCAAACACTTCAGAGCAGTTCAAAGGGCGGGTCTGACTGCTGGGATAAGCGTGAGGATAAGGTCAAAAGCCAAGAGAGATGGAATGAGGCTGGAGAGTGCAATGCAGTGAAGAAGAATAATCTGGGAGAGAAAACGATTCCCAGACCAGGGAAACAACTTTCAGTTTGGAAGCAAAGAGCTTAGAAAAGGAATGGATAAAGTATTACTAATGAGGAATCAAATCATAAAGCAGAACAGCGAAATGCAGAAGTTGTACCTGAAAATGCTCATTCACTAAAGGTGAAAGGTGTATTTCAGCTTTACAGAAGGTTGGTTTAAGGACCAAAAGTCAAATATAGGTAAAAAAGCAAGGTTCCTAACAATAATAGATTAAAAATAGAAATAAAACCGAAGAATCTTAATTGGATCTCGAGCTACAAATGACAGGGATACTCATGGTAAGGGTCAGTATGGTGTTCTCAGTCAAAATAAGGTGCCACCCTCCTGCCTTCGGTGCAAGCTCACACTCCATATTATCAAATCATTAAATTACGAATTTCTCAAGCATTTGGTCTAGAACAGAGAGGTTCACTCTGTTCCAGTCTGTGTATGGAGAATTGTACCTTCCTCTAAATCCACCTCACCAGGAATGTCAATATTTAGGGAATAAGCCTCATGACTTGTCTTCACTTGACAAGTGCACCATATGTTCCCCGTGGGAAATAACTCTGCTAAGAGAAGGGGATTGTGATTTTTTGAGAGGCTGAACTACACAATCCTTTAAAAACCAAAAAAAACCAGTGATTTAAAACCAAGTGTTACCTTTCAAGAAATCCCTCTCCTCCCTTTCTTCTAGAGAAAGTTTCTCATCACGACTTCCTCCCCCGCCACGTCCACAGGTTCCCACCAGGCAGGTTGGGGTGGAGGAACCACAGTCCCACAACTTTAAAAACAAAACTCCTGAGCTTCTGGAAAAGCCTGGAAGTAGCTCTACAGCTGTCCAGGGTGAAGTGACCTTCCTTTGACATGTCCTGTTAACTTTATGGGAAGAGAAATCAAACTGGTGGGATCGATCTGGAGCGAATTGCCAGGCAGGGACACAGCTGGGGGATTATGGTACAAAACCCCCCAAAATTGGTTTGTGCATCAGCACAGTCCTCCAAAAAAGGCACAGTAAATACTGTTTCAGGTGTGTTATCGATCATGGTTAAAGCAGGTGCTGGAATACATTTGCACACTGCACAGGTAGGTGTAAGGAGTTGATTTAACTTAATATCAGAACATCCCAAATGAGAGGATTTCCTTCACTCTACAGTGGAAACTTCCACTTGGAGTTTCCTGACATTTGAAAATTCATGTACGATGAATATTCTCAGTGTATATTGATTTTTTTATTTCAATTTTTATTGAATAATATGAAAAATTATCACCAACTTGAGGGACCAGAAAATGAGGGAAGGACTACCTGTAACTAGGAAAGAGCACTTTGGAAATGAATCATCTCCTCACACACAAAAATCATGGAGGAGTCCTGTGACTGGAGTTATGCAAAGAATGGGAATAATCATAAACTACTAAATGGTTTGGGTTGGACCAGGTTGCTCCAAGGCCCTGAGCAACAATCTCATGGTTGTTCACCAAAAATGTTGAGAATAACAAAGATTCAGTTCCTAATCCAACAATGAGGAAAAGGGCAAAGGCAGCATTTCCAGTGCTATTCCTTTTCAAAGCTGGCAGGGCCTTCTCTCATTTCCAGCAGCAAAATGGGACAGAATTAAGAGTGATTATTTGGTCTGGCTGGTCTCTGGAGCACAGACCCCGTGCTGGGGGAGGTGGCCCAGGACACAGCAGGTATTTTGCCTGAGTGTGTGTAAACACATCATTAGTGCCATCCCAGACACAGGAGGGACAGGCTGGTTCCTACAGAGATGTAAAGGATGCTGCAGCCCCTCCTTTCCAGCTCTGGTGCTCAGAGAGCAATTCCTCCATACCAGCACCATAAAGGATTAATGGAAAGCCATAATGACATAAACCAACAAATTAAAAACAGGAGGCTTCTGTAATCATTATTTTTACATTGCTTGTCTCAGTCCAGAATCATAATTTTTAGCACACCACTTATTAACAACTTCTAAATATTGCATTAAGGTAAGTTATAAAATTCGACTCTTTAAAGTAAAGTTTCTGCCACAATGACAGAAATTATGGTTTCTATCAAAAGGATTCTATGAATTTACGGAAAAACTAATCTGATTCTGCTAAAAACTTACTTGGAAAACATGCCCTGGGTGGATGATGTTGCAGTTCTAGCATTTCTGTTTCCACTACATTTATGCAACAGAGTTTACTTTTAAAACCCAAGTTCATATTTTTGAAATGTTGTGACAAAGAGACTCTTACTTTTAAACTTAAACATTTTGTGCCTGAAATATCCAAACACTGATACATCCTTGTCTACCACATTAATCCCCTTCCCCTCTCCCACCAGCACTCTCCCCTTCCCACCAGGCAATGCCAAATGCAAATTCCCTTGGCATTAAAAGATGCAGCTGGAATGAAATATTCCCATCTCAGAACTGTTATGATATTGAACCACAGACATCCATTCCCTGAGGGAATTATTTCGTGTACACGAGGGAAAACAAGGGGAGCTGAAGGATTGCATTTGCTCCTGGGACTGCCAGAAAGGTCCCCCAAATTCCACTCATCAGCATCATCTGCACATATATTTACCCTTAACACAGCACTTATAACTGTACCATTGACTTCTTTTGACTTTTTTTTTAGTATCATAACCTGTAAGTGCCTCCTGAAGGTCACTGGATGCAAACTATGTTTACTATTTAATTTATAAGTTAGAGAGAAAAGCAATGGAAGATATTTGCACTTTTTTTTTTCTTCCCTTTTTACCTTGCCCTTGTCAAAGTAATGGATAATTTCTTGATAGAGTTGATCTTTCAACTGTCCTTGAGTAGTAGCTTGGTATCCATCCCGCTGGGTAAGATGTGCTGCACACGCTTCTTCTGACCACTAAATCATACAAAAAAAAAAAAAAAGGGAAAAGAGAAAAAAAATTAAAAGTGATGAGATATGTCAGTAAAATGAGGTTCAAAATAGAGAGGTTTTTTATTTATTTAAAGGAGTGGTACCAGAGCTAATGCACTAACAAAGAGGTTTTGTGCACTTTGATTCTTTGGGCACGAGGAGTATTTGTTTGAAGGCTGTAATTGGAAGCTAATTCCATCCATCAGCTGGAAGGAAGCTTCTGGAGGTGGTTTCCTGTCCTGGGTGAGGTTGATGAGGCTGACCTTGGCCTGCTGATGGTACAACCCGCTGGGGACACAGTGACCACCTGCAGTTTATGTTGAGAGAAGCCTGGAAGCCAAGATACATCACCACAAAAGGAAAGGACTGCAGGTATGGAAATGAGATGGCTACAACTCAGAGGGAACGTTTGGAGAGCTGGAAAAGCACAATTAACTTTATCCAATTAGTAATTTATAGCTCTTGCTCTTCCAGCACCTGTCTAATGGAGCAAGGCAGAGATGCCAATCACAGAATCTTGGAATGGTTTGGGTTGGAAAGGACAGTAAAGCCCATCCAGTCCCACTCCCTGCCGTGGGCAGGGACACCTTCCACTAGCCCAGGTTGCCCCAACCTGACCTTGAACACTTCCAGGGATGGGGCAGCCACAGCTTCTCTGGGCAACCTGTGCCAGGGCCTGCCCACCCTCACAGGGGAGAATATCTCCCTCGTATCCAGCCTAAAACTCACGGATCATTTCCAGAATTACCATTACACCATCCAGTTTCACCTCTTACATCTTATTTAGTTTCACCCAATTGCTTCTTAATTTGGCCAAAATGTTTGTGTTTGGGCCACCAGACAACTCTGACACCTCTGTGATGCAAAGCTGTGTTTCTGAGCAACACAAACCTCAGGCAGACTGCAATAAAATGGCTTTTTTTTTTTTTTTTCGGCATGCAAAGAGCAACTATCTTCTGTTAGTTTTGAACATCTCACTTTTGACAAAATGGGTTAAAAATACAACAAAAGTCTCTCTTCTTGAGTGTGCTTCATCAGCTTGCAGTAATTTGCAGAATACGATGGCATCTCTCTCTCCACGAGCACAGCCTTCCTGCAAATTTAAAGGTGAAATTCCCTCACACTCTCAGTCTTGACCTAAACGTGATCCCATTAAAATCAGTGTGATGGAATATCTGCCAATGATGAGTGTCATTGAAAAATCCTGTCCTCAAGGCTTGACAGAGAAACTCAATTGCTTAGTTACACACCCCACAATATTGCTGCTCCTCGAGCAATGCTGAACCCTCCAGCCACTGCTACCTACTGGTAGTAACAGGAACCTCCTCCTGTCACTGCCAGCTCCTGGTAGCAACAACAAGAATTTAGATGGAGACAGACTGACACATTTTTTATAACAAAGTAAATCCAGACTATAATTTAATTATATTTATAAACAAACTTCCCCCCAGTGATGAAAGCCCGTGACAAATCCCGCCCCTGCATTTGCCACGTTCTATCAGTGTGCATTATAAGAAAGGAAAAATGGATATTTCTTCCCAGTGAATTCAAAGGGGTAAATTAAGATACTCATCTGGTCTTTGAAGACATTATCTAAGAAAAGCTAAAACTGACTAAACTCTAATTTAAGTTCACATAAAGTAACTAATGAGGTCAAGCCATAACAGCTAGAAGTTTGAATGACTTTTTCTGGCGGGGTTTATTCCATCATTTTTCCAGAAAATGAGCACCTGTGGAAGGGAATGAATCCTTTATGTTGTCTGAAAGGTTCATTCACGTGAAGTGTGAGGAGCAAGCACTGCACAAATTGTCAGCCCTGCTTTATGTCCCTCGTGGGAACAAGAGAGACCTTTAAAGCCACAGACTCGGTGAGTTCCTCACTCCAACTCCTGCCCCAGCCCAGGAGAGGGAGGTGTCAGAGCCATTTCCCCACACCCTCAGCTCCTCACAGGCTCAGCACAGAGAATTCCACTCCCAAAGAACTCACTGTGTTCAGCCCTGTGAGGATGGTGAGGCCCTGGCACAGGTTGCCCAGAGAAGCTGTGGCTGCCCCTGGATCCCTGGAAGTGTCCAAGGCCAGGTTGGACGGGGCTTGGAGCATCCTGGGCTAGTGGAAGGTGTCCCTGCCCATGGCAGGGGGTGGGACTGGATGCGCTTTGAGGTCCCTTCCAACCCAAACCAGTCTGGGATTCTATGACCCTATTAAAACCCCTCTGGTTTTAATAATGAATAAATCTATTGGCACAGCATTTTCTCACTCCAGATGAATCTTAGTGATATTTTCTTTCTCTAGTTATATTACAATACAGTAAATATATTTCAAAGTGTCTTAATTTAAGTTGCATATTTATGCTCTGCATCATATTTAGTCTAATTATGGCTTGGATGCAGCTTACTCAGAGGAATCATTCTCAGTGCATCCATTAGAAGTATTTTATTTAACACCTTCCACTTTCTACCTTTTCAAAATAGGTTTTTTACAGCTGCATTTCACTTAGGATTGCTTAAATTAAATCCACAATTGCCAAGAACAACTGGCTGCTTAGAATGAGATAAATTTTCTTTATCAAGTGGGGCACCATAACAGTAATAGTACAGCAGGTTGCAGTGATACAGAATCAGACAGGTTTGGGCTGGAAAGGACCTTACAGACCATCCCATTCCACCCCCTGCCATGGGCAGGGACACCTTCCACTCTCCCAGGTTGGTCCAAGCCCCATCCAGCCCCTCAGTCCTTGAGGGGAGTGGAAAGAGATCCAGGACTCACTGGGAGAGACAGATTTCACTGTGGGTGATAAAATATGAGGAAGATGAATGTGACTAAAGCAAACACTTCCAACACTGGGCTGTATGAAACACGTGATTTCATGGCACAAGCGCTGGCAGGAGGAGTCTCTTTGTATGTGACAACAAGGGGGACACGGTAGGTACCTGCTCTCACACGTGTGGCACAATCACATGAACAAGCTGCATGTTAGAAACAACATCACCTATCCAAGAGGATCTCCAGAGAGATTAATGCTCAGGAAATACAGATTCATTATGCTTTTGGTTGACACTGGATAGTGTTAAAAGCTCCAATGTTTTATTTCACGTACTTTCTACATATACCATGTTATTTATATACATTGCAGGTTCCACTAAAGCACTCCTTGAAGAACAGCAATATTGTTGTGCCTCTTTAAATGTGCTGTCAACTGTGTAATGCTGCTTAAAATTATACGTCCCTTTTAAAAGCATGAACTTGGAAAGAAGGCCATTTGAATCTCTCCCTAATTTGCCAAAATCAAAGCTGAATCTATTCCAGACTCCCAAGAGCACTCAAGAACAGGCTGTAATATTCCCCTGTATTGCCTCTGCACAAAGATTCTGTGGAGAGCTGATTTACTAAAATATGTGGTTAGAGGCTTCCACACGTTACACAACCGTGATATTTTGAAGATTACAGCTTTGCAATGTGTAATTCCTGGTGCTGCCTTGGCCACACTTCCACTTCAGATCAAGATGTGCCTCTGCCACACACGAATTCCTTCACGTATGAGTTACACGGACAAAAGACAACACTGCCCTGAGCTGCAGCTCATGGATGTTAATCAGTTTAAAGTGCAGATGTTCTGAGTGACAAACACCTCTCTGGGTTGCTGCTGACATGATTTGTGCCAAGCCTGGGGGTGTGTTTTGGGGTTTACCTTGAGGAGCTTTGCGTGCAGGAGCAGCGTGTAGGCAGCCTCTGTGTAGTTGTCACACTCCTTGTGCAGGTCACACAGCTTGTACAAATACCTGCCAGGAACAGAAACAATGGTGCTTACAAAAGACTGGCTTTAGGATGTTATGATTTCTCTTGAAGATTACAAGGGTTCAAGTCCAGCTTTGAACACCTGACCACTTGTGGGATTATCTGAAGTTCCTGTTTCTGTGTGCAGACAACCTTTGGGACCATTTGCATTTCCCTTGTGCTCGTTTCAATGCATATTCAGGGAATTAGGGAGCCATGGAATCATTAAGGTTGGAAAAGACCTCCCAGATCATTAAGTCCAATCTTTGGCCAAACACCACCATATAAGTGGCTTGTGATGAGGAATGAACCCAATGCAGATTTTGTGCAAGACAGAGCAGTCTCACAGTTCAGCTGTGGGGACAGATAAAAGTTTCCTTCTCTAACTTCAATATCATCACACCTCTGGCAGGGGATTCTCTTCATTTGTGTGTTGAGATTTTCAGTAACAATTAAAAAAAACCCCACAAAACTATTAAAATTGTATTTTGAAAAAGCCAGTGAAAATACTTTCAACTTTGATTTTCATTAAGAGTTTTTTAATAGAAGTAGGAGAGAATTTGGGGGGGGTGTGACACTGAGAGACAATGTTCTCTTTCTAGGGATGCTGAGTAGGGCAGATCTACAACTCATAACTTCCCATGTTTGCCCACAGTTATCAATCCTGCCCTTTTCTTCCCTTTTTGCAACCTACTGAAACCATTTAAACAACAGGAGCTGAGTTCACAAGTGAAAGTTCTTCCAAAAAGGTAACAAGCACATGAGAATGAATTAAATAATCATATTTGGATACCTAAAGTAGCATTACAAACCCAAGCTTCAGCATTTTAGCACAACAGTGTAGTCAGTTTTAAACCAAAGCACAAATGGAGGATGAGGAACCCTGAGGTTTACAGAAAACACGACGACACATTTCCATGTTTGCTTTGTGTGAAAATAGATTTTGAAAGGTTCCTGGAAGCTTTAAGTTTACAACAGGTATCAGTCATGATATTATTTAATAGCTGTTTTTACCCCAAGTCGCATATTTTTGTACCATTATTTCTTTGCTCAACTTTCTTTTTACTTCTTTATTCGCTCCTGAGTACTGCAGGAGTGTTCACTGGAATAAAACTGAAGGAGAGCTGGAGAAAGGGGACAAAGATAATCTCATGACTCCAACTTCCAGCACTCAGTGTTCTCAGGCAAGATAAGCTTTGGAATTACTTCAGGTTCAGTCAAGGTATGATTTTTCATTACTTCTCTTCCTCCAGCCCCCGAGTGATTCCTTAATAGGAACTCAATTTCCCCAATTACACCGGAGCACATCAGGCACTTTGTCACCAGTCATGTTTACAAACCTTATGTACATTTCTTCTCTCTCGATCTCCTTGTAGAAATTCTGGAAGAAAAAAAAAAAACCAACATAATTTCATTACAAACTCTTTGATTTCTCAGTTTGGAAGGCACACGGAACACGCTGGAAATTAAAAATTCATCATTGCGTAACATCAGCCTCCAAACTGCAAAGGGAAATTCGCCTCCAGTGCTGGAACACAAGTTATTTAACTTACAAAGTCTAATGCTGTGATGTTTCATGTTGCAGCAGATTAGGGCTCATGTCTCACTGCAAAGGTTAAGAATTTGCAAGAATAGCACTGCTGGAAAGCTGCTCCTGGCACTTGCAAGTCACACATCATTAACCATTTTCACTTGAAAATTTTTTAATGTACAAAAAACATAATTTTTAAGCAGTAGTTGTTCCACGGATTTAAAACTCCGAACCTGACTTGGGCAATACATCATCTGCTCTTGAATTCCAATGGTTTCCTCAGAAATAAAAAGTTAGATTAGTGTTATTTCTCTGGTTTCGTATGCCACACATTAGCATTGCTCTCCTCTGGTTGCCTCTGGCTTTGAGATAAACTAGTTAACAGTACAAATATTGTAAATGCAAAGTATGATAAACTGGGTGAGATATTAAAGGCAATTCTGAATCTAATTAAAGTTCACCTCCAAAAGCTAAAATATATCTAAGAAAACAAAATACAAAGAAATTTCTTCCTCCCTGAATTAAAATATATTTCAAGGCTAAATTAAAGGAGTTTGAGGAGCCACTAATAGATGCTAAGACATGGGTAAACCCAATATAAAACAATTCCCTTCAAAGCCAACTGGAATACGAGACTAAATCCACATTTCACAGAGGAAATGATGGATTATTCCAGGGATTTACCATTTCAGTTGATATAAATGCTCGCTGGTTTTGAGTTCAACTAAAACATGTCCCCAAGTGCCACATCCACACGGCTTTGAAATCCTTCCTGGGATGGGGACTGGGCAGCTCTGCCAGGGCTGGACAGCCCTTTCCATGAAGAATTTTTCCCTAATATCGAATCTAAACCTCCCCTGGCACAGCTTGAGGCCCCATCCTGTCCCTTGTTCCCTGGGAGCAGAGCCTGACCTGCCCTGGCTCCCCCCTCCTGTCAGGGAGTTGCAGAGCCAGAAGGTCCCCCCTGAGCCTCCTTTTCTCCAGGCTGAGCCCCCCCAGCTCCCTCAGCTGCTCCTGCTGCTCCAGACCCTTCCCCATTAGCACTAGCTTAAATGCAGATCAAACTCTCCAACTTAAAAACTCCAGTCAATACAGACAAACTTAATCCCAGGAAAGCCTCTGCATCATTAAATTCCCAATTAGGAACTCCCTGAGACCTCAGGTGGGAATTGTGCCGAGCGCCAGCCCGCGGTTGGATTTTTGCAAAGGCATGAATTTCACTTCAGGTGCCTGGAGAATGATGAAAGGGCTGAGTTGGCCCTGGAGGACAAATGGGAGTTTAAAATCAAGCTGAAGTTTTAAATCACGGCTACCGAAAAGGAAGGAAAATCCTGGGCCGCGACACTGCCCGGCATTTCCCGTTGACTCCGGTGGGAGGCTCGTGCAGGGGATCTCACGGTGATTTAACCTGACAGCAGCAAATCACCCACAAAATTTATCATACGGAAACCTTGAAAAATTCAGATGCCAAAAATCAGCATCAGGAGGTGCTGTTGGAGATGCTTGGAGAAAAACCCAACCCCAGGTGTGCCATGAGTTACCCTCAATCAGGATGGTGAGAATTCCTGGGAAGAAACTCATAGAGTATTCTGCTGAAAGCAAGGAGAAATAAATTGACTTTCCTAAGGAACTTTTCCCAGTTTTATACACTGGATTAGAGCGTGTGGTGTCTGTGATTCCCTATTTCCCATCTCGCTCATGGGAACTGGCAGGATTTTCCAACGCAGTTCCGCTCGGGAGGGCGCGATAACCTTTCTGCGGGCGACCCAACAGCTGGTGCCAACTCTCCAAGTCCCTCCTCTTCTCCCAGGATGATTTTTGATGTGCACAGGGAGGAAAAACACACCAGAAATAAAGGCCCAATTTGGTTTGATGCCTCGATCCCCTCTCCTGCTCCAGCGGGCACCGCTGTGCTTGTGGTTGATGGGGTGACATAAAGGCTGTGCTGCACGAGCTGCATTATATGCAAAACAAAAGCTACAAACTATTTACTCAGCTCTTTCCTGCACAAAATCTATCAGCCATGTCACATAAACCACGAACGCTGGCTGTGCCCCACATATTACAGCAAAATAAAAGCTCTGATGGTGATACAGAGGGATGAAAGCTCCGAAGCCTTAGCGGCGAACAGTTTAATGCCGAGTCTTGTTGGAAAAATCAAATCTAGTTACTCTAATTTGGGGGTCTCTAAAAGTTATTTCCCACGTGTGCTGATTTTAGGCTTGTCAGATCTTATGCTCCAGTGCTTCCACCAGCGTGTACTATGAGGGACAACTTCTGCTGCTTCCAACTCGAGCCCAAAGGGAAAAGTTTTGTGTACAGAGCAGACACTCCAGAATTTCTGGAATTAAAAGGAGGAAGTTTCCTATCAGTGAAGAAAACAATCTGAATTTTTTCCTGTTGTGAATGAAACAAAAACTCAAATTTCCTCAAAAAAATTTGAATATGGAGGCTGAGCGGGAAGCAGAATACAAATGGGATTGCAAATGTGTGAATATTTCAGGAATAAACTGCACAGAACCCCAACATTCTGTAAGCAAAGTGTTTTTCTGCTTAAAGTTGTTCATAGATCCATTGTAAATGTCAGTGAACAACCCTCCTTAGAACATTTCTCTCTAAATCTTCCCATATAATCGATTAAAGAAGGAATAACCCACATGTTCATAAATTTGCCTTCATCAAAACAGGAAAAAAAAACCCCAAAGCATTTCAGATTTCCATGAGAATCCCAACAGAGACTCAGAGTGACAGAAAGGCACAAAATTCCGAGTGCAAGGACCATTCCAGCTGGTGGAATCCCTGCTTACCAGCACGTTGACAGTGCAGCTCATGCGGTTCTCCTTGTTCTCGTCGTGCATGATGGTCCTGTAGTCCAAGAGCCTCTCCATCAAACGTACAACCAGCTTCACAAAAGTTTCCCCACTCTTAGCCAGGTATTTGTGCTTCCTACAGTGCTCCAGGAGACTGAAAAAAAAACCCAATTACATTCGCCTTGTTAATCCCACGCAGGAAGAACCTTGACTCAGGTGCAATTTTAAATATTGTGCATCGTTAACAGATTTTAATTATTTCTGGGCTACAAAGTTCATTGTAGTCTAATTGCTGTCTCTCCTGACTTCACTGTGACATAAATCTCAACACTTACATTTTGTCAAATAACACTTTGTACTGTTCATCCCCTCGGCCTCCTTCCACTTCGTGATCCAGTTTGGTGATGATCTCATTTTCGAACTGTAATTAAACAAAGCAGGCGGAAATAATCAGATGGCAAATATTGCACTTTATTGCTGGAGCCTCGGTGCTTCACAGATTGGCTGGGCACCTTGGCGAGATGTTCAGCCACTGTTTGAGAGCCTGATTGACTTTAGGAGTCTGCAGGCTCTGGTTTTAGAGCACCCACCATGAACTGCCCTACGAGGGCTTTGTGTGAAAGAACTCACTGAGCACGTTGGTAAATGAAGCGTCAATATTTGTGCTGTGAAAAACTGAATAAGGAGATTAACGGCAAGAATGAGGGCAGGGAAAAAGAAGACACAAAGCCACAGAGTGTCCCCTGCAATAAAGGTGACAGCAACACAAATAGTTGAAAACTCTGTGAGAGAGGAGAGGGAACACCTGAGGCTGGACAACTTGGCTGGGTGCACATCCCAGCATCATTAACATCCCTTTTTAGCACACAGACACGAATCACAGAGGGGCACAACTTGATAAACCTGCTAATAAGTCACTGCAGAGGGGAAGGAAGTAATTTCAAACAACTCCAGAGTAATTTTATTTGGGCAATAATAAAAGAATGCAAACTTAAGTGGGCATTAGAATATATTTTAAGTGCAAACTGGGTAATTCCCTGGATTTTTAGTGATTACAGAGGGTTTTAGCTGTTGCTGCCACATTCCCTAAGGGCCCAGGTTAGGAATGATGTGAACTGTTAGTGGAGGGAGGTTCACTCCAGGCATGCTGCTCTGTAAGCAATTGGTTTAGGTATCTAATTCCTAATTCCTCACTAACTAAGCACAGACATCCACAGGATTAGTGCCACAACTTAATTGTCCAGGGACCTCAGGAGAGCTGGCTGAGCTGGGAGCCCTGGCAGGGCAATGGGAGCCCATTGCTCAGATTGGACATTTATTGAAAGAACAGTTGTCACCAAGTGTTTTCACTGTCACTTGCTTAAGCAGCCCCTTAATGACTCTGAGGAGAAGCAAAGGGCCACCTGCACAAGAACAAAGAGTCCTAACATTTTGGAAATGTCAAGAGATGTGCTTTGCATCTGCAGTTAATATTAACAGCTCATAATGCACCCATGGGAAAGGAAGGGACTTTCTGGATCACAGAAAAAGAGAATATCCCGAGTTTGAAGGGAACCAGCAGGATCATCAACTCCTGGCCCTGCACAGGACACCTCAACAATCCCTCCCTGTCCCTGAGAGTGTTGTCCAAACATTCCTTGAGCTCTGTCAGCCTTGGTGCTGTGCCCACTGCCCTGGGGAGCCTGTTCAGTGCCAACCACCCTCGGGGGGAAGAACCTTTTCCTGAGATCCAACCTAAGCCTGCATGACACAGCTCCAGCCATTCCGTTTGGTCCTGTCACTGGTCACCAGAGAGAGGAGATCAGTGCCTGCCCTTCTGCTCTAAGTTAGGAAGAGAAACTGGATTTTTTTCAGTCTACACTGTGAAATTCTTCAGGCATATTTATTCCAGCGAGGAGTTGGAGATGACCCTTGCCAAGAGACTTACATAACGATGAACCTCTATAAGAGAGTGCTTTTCACCAACCAGTTTATATCACTTTGAGGCACAGTAGCTCTGTCCACCACCAATCCCGTCCTGCTCTCCTGCAACACCACAGCAGTTGTGAACCTGCACGTGAAACATGGCCAAGGACTGCTTTGCTAAGAAAAATCCTTTATAAGGAGAAATACGAAGGATTTGCTGGATAAATTGCGACAATGACAAACTACCCCTCTGTGTTAGGGCAGGTCAGTTTCTGATCACTGTAACAGGCCCAACAGCAGGAATGTGAAAATCTACAGTCTGAGCCAGGACCCTGAGTTTGCCTCCCTTCCCAAGTCCCCATGTTGTTCCCAGCATTAACTGCAGTAACATTCACAGCGTGAGAGAATCAACTAACCCACGTCCCCAAGTGCCACATCTACATGGCTTTTAAATCCCTCCAGGGATGGGGACTCCCCCACTGCCCTGGGCAGCCTTTCCAATGTTTGACAACTCTTTCCATGAAGAAATTTTCCCTCATCTCCAACCTAAAGCTCCCCTGGTGCAACTCCAGGCTGTTTCCTCCCTTCATGTGCAACCCCTAGACTTTTTGACCTCTGCAGCCCCCCAGGATTACAGCAGAGCAAAAAAAAGGCTGTGCTCTGAGCTCGGTGACTGCAAACCCTCATGGTGAAAGAGGGCAGAACAATTCCTGCTCCCCCAGTGCTTGGAGGAAATTCAGGATATAGGATAAAACCAGGCACAGGTCAATTGAACTGTCAGGAAACTCAAACTACAGATTGTATCATGCAGACCAGTGATAAAATCAACTAAGTACCCAAACAGCTGGTCCATCTTAAAGCAACTTTTACTATCATGAGTGACCCCAAACCTCGGGTTGAAACATTTCAAAGGTGCTTTTCTGGTCCCCAAATGATCCAGAGAGTCACAGAAACACTGGGAAAAGACCTCAAAGGCCATTCCATGGCCAATCCATGCAGCCTGCCAGGTGATGCAGGATTAGTGCCAGCACTGGATCAGGCCAAGTGTGGCCTGATTAGCCAAGAAATTACTATCTCTGTGGATGGATTATCATGCAGCCCTTCTGGATAACTTGTCCCCCTCCCTCACGACTTCCCTTGAGAAGAAACGAACGAGCAGCGACGTGAAATCAGGATTTTTATACATTGAATCCGTTATTAAAAAACTTGACAGGCAAATGAGAAAAGGCAGAAAAGGCAATCCACCCCCTCTCAGAACCACCACAGGCTGAAACATGTTCCCACAGCACGAGAAGGTGTCAAGTGAAACACTGCAGAGCGCAACGATGAACCGGAGAAGTCACAGAATTCATGTTCTCTAATGAGCCCAGAAAGAAATTGACTTTCTAGACCTGTGTGAAAAATGACACTGGCTGCCAGTGTGAGCCCTTTAGGTGATGTATTTTTTAGCAGGAGATTACTCAGACAGAGAAGAGCAATTACATTTGTCATGCAGGATCTCGAGTATCTTCCTGATATCAGTTTTACTTAAATCTCTGTAAATCCACGCTTTGTTGGGCCATTTCCCTAATGGCCCTCCAGGGCTGAGCAGAGCCAGACTTGTGGCATTGCTGGGGTTTTAGGGATTATTAACAATATCTTTGCTCTTCAGTCATTCTTGATGCCTCCCAAGGAATTGCTGTGATGCAGATCGTGCAAGTCAGACGAATAAATGTTATTTAACATCAGCTTAAATTCCTTCTCTGGTCTTTCTAAGCCAGATGAATAAATGTTATTTAACATCCTTCTATGGTATTTCCATAGAGGAATGTTTTATCAACACAAGTTGAGGTTTATGGAGCTTTGGAGGTTTATCCCCTTCCATGATGGGAGTAGGAATGTGACCCTACTACTGGCTCTGAGGACACTGCACCTGGCATCTGTGGATAAACTCCCCATTTTTTCCTTTTATCTTTTTTTCTTTCTAATGCATTAATTTTTTTTAATGCATTACATTAAATTTAATGCACAAACAGGCCTGCAATTATTGTGATGGAATTCACTCTCAAATGAGGAAGTGCCAAATTTCCAATGTTTCCATTCCAGGCAGTGCCACTTGCTGAGGGTCCTTCTGGAGGCTTTAGGGGAATATCTGGCACCATCAAAGACTCAGATTCATATCCTTGTGCTGACAGTGAAAGCTTGAGGGGTGATGGTAGGAAGATTACAGGACATTAGTATCCACTTTGCCTTGCAGTTGATCAAGATCTGAGCTTCTCTTTAGGATGTGAGAGTTTGAACTTGGGCGAGGAGCAAATCCACAGCCTCATCTGGCTGCTAAAATCTCTCATCTGGAGCGCATAAATCAAGGGAAGTCATCTCATGTCAACTCAGCTAATCGCTTTTGGACTTGGGTTTACCTCCAGTGTGGCCAGGCTACATTTGCAGACTGGTTGACAACTGAATCTGGCTGGAGATGAGCAGAACTTTTGATCCTCCAAGCTCCTATAAATTCATTTTGATGTGGGGTAATAATAAATTTGCCCTGTAAAACTTGAAGCGACAGATCACACCACAAGAAATCAGTGCTAATGCAGGGATAGAACAGAACGACTGCAAAACTTTCCTCAAACCTTTTTAGGAAAGTTGGTGGGAATTCCCAACATTTTCATTTGTACCCTTTCCTATTTTTCCACAGAACTGCAGCTGGCAAACAGATCTGGCAGCCATTTAAAATTATCTGACGATTTTGGAGGTGTTTGCTCCTCAGGTGGGGTTGGGGAGGAATATTGATATTCTCCAAAAGGCCAGAAAACAAGAAAAGCTCACACATTTGCATTTCAACTACAGATAATTTAAAATGTTACTTATTGAAACGAATACTTGGGGGGGGGGGAATTAGTTATTTGGATTTGCATGTTCAGTGGGATCACTGAGGAGAGACTTCAGCATCCCAAAAAGCTGGAGAGTCATTACCATATGTTCTGGCTGCAAATCTACAGCACAGGGAAAGGGAGGTTAACACAGGGCTCAAAAGTGGTAAAAAGACTTAATAAGGAATTATGAGTTCTAAAAGTCAAGAGAGATTCAGTTAAACCAGGAACTTATTAAGAAGAATTAAATCAATTTGAAATTCATCAATAACCAGTATGAAATCACACTGAAAATAAAAATGCCGGTATAACAATCTTGATGATACTGAGACTTGTTGTTAAATGTTAAAAATGAACTAAAATGGTTTCTTCTTAATTTTTTTTGGTCTTTACTCATTTAATTCCCTTCACAACAGAATGTTAGCTAGAGGTACTTCAGCTGCACCTCTGGGTTTATTTCAGTAATCATATGCATTATGCATCATATATTATGCATTTCTGTACAACTCTGCATTGTGCATTCATTGCTTATGCATTTCTGTATCATTTTCCTACCTTTTCTGCTATGGATCAGAAAAGATTATGTGCAAAGAGTCATTCCCAGACCTTGCAGAAAACAGGACAGACGTGTTGTTGCATTTTTAGGGCTCTTTCCTCAGACAATTATTTTTCACAGCTCCTCACTCTGACAGGGCAGGGACATGTGCTGGAGCTTGTCCACTTAAATCACCGATGGAACACCACCAGGAACTGATGGTTCTCCTCAGTAATGTGGTTCAGTCTGAAAATTAGACATATGGGGCTTCTAATTTCTTCCTGCTCATCACTACAGGGCTGGGGGTTCACCTCTCACATTTCCCTTCAGAGGATAAAGGTCCTCCCTTCCTGCTTGATGTTGGGGAAGCCAGGCTGGAGAAGACCTTCTGACTCAATCTCTTACCTTATGAAAGGATCAGGATGGTTTGGGATGGATGGGACATTAAAGCCCATCCAGTCCCACCCCCTACCAAAGGCAGGACACCTTCCACTAGCCCAGGCTGCTCCAAGCCCCGTCCAACCAGGCCTTGGACACTTCCAGGGATGGGGCAGCCACAGCTTCTCTGGGCAACCTGTGCCAGGGCCTGCCCACCCTCACAGGGAAGGATTTCTTCCCAATATCTTATGTAAATCTACCCTCCTTCAGCTTAAGACCATTCCCCCCTTGTCCTGTCACTGCACAGTCTTGTCCCAAGTCCCTCTCCATATTATTCTGTTAATATTTTGGTTTGGCTCCTACCATAAGTTACTTCTAGTCCTTAACTTGTACCAGATCAGTTAAAAGAACTGGTATTGTGATGCAGTACCATGGGACAGGCAGAACCCACCCACCAGCTCCTCCCATTCCCTCCACGCTCTGATTTGTTCCAGTTCCTGCACTGGCACGTTCCTGGGAATGGGTTCAACTCCAAACTCCACATTCCAGCTGAATGGTTGCTCCATGATGAGCTTTCCCCCTCTGCTGTCACCACAGGACCCATCACATTCACCTGACCAGGCCTGGAACAATCAAACCAGTTCCCTTTGATCACCCCCCTGGTTCCAACGTATTCCCTTTGATCTGGAGGGTTCGCTACTGGAACAGGCAAAGGGAGGAAGCAGAGTGGGGAAGGAGGAATTTTCTTCTACTGGGAAGCTTCAGTCCCACCCTGACTTTAGTACTGGATTCCTGCTTTGAGGTACAGGCTCCTTTGAAGCCTTACATGGGCTTCAAAGCACCTTCAGAGGGAGAGGACAAAAACGGGCAACTCCAGCTTTTAATTCGGTCCTTAATTTAGTTCTGCGAAACAAGAGGAATTTATCTGTTTTTTTCTCAGGGCTGTAGGCACTGGAAGAACACAAAAAAACACCCCTCCTATCTGCTATTGGTTTTACCAGGCAAACCCAGTTCCTACTGAAATTTAAACCACCATGGGGAAAGCTGCTTGTTTATCACACAAACCATCAGAGTCTGCAAAAAAATTGAAATTCCTCCCCCACAAATCATGAGGTTTCTACATCTGCTGGAGAAGTGGAGCCAATCTAAACCCTTGTTGATGTGACTAATAAGGTTAGATAATTGGATTTCTGGCAGATTAGTTTAACAGCAGCCAACCATTCCATTTGGAAGTTCTCTTTGGACAAGGATAATTGGTACTTGCATATAAAGGATATAATGCAGCACATTACACTGACCCATTAAGCATGAAAGCTTGCCTAGGTACTGGTAATAGTTTAAAAAAATTATTTTATATCTATTTCTATCACTTAAACACAAAAGAGATGGGAAAATGAGCTGGGAATCTACAGACCAGGCAGCCCCTCTTTAGTTCCTGAGGAAACTATGGAGTAATTCCCTCATGGAAGCTTCTTCCAGGTACACAAAGGGCAAGAAGGTGACTGGGAAGAGGAAGTATTTACCAAGGATAAATCACATCTGACTGCCCTCTGGGATAAACCTGCTCATGGATGAAGAGCTGTGGTTGTCTCAGCCTTAACAGTGTGACAAGTCCTCTACTTGTTGACATGTTGGTAAGATCTGGACTGGACAGCGAGGTGGGTGGAGGAAGGGGCTGCACTGCTGATCTCCAAGGGTGGTGGCTCAATGACTCTGGAAGTCTGAGAGAGAGCCAGGAAGAAATTTTGCCAAATTTAAGGAAGTCCTGAATCTGGGATGGCAGAGCTGCAAGCAGCAGGACAAGGATGTGGTGGACAACAAGCTGAACACGAGCAAGCATTGTGGGGCCAAATGTGCCCCTGACTGCACCCACAAGGGCATGACCAGAGGGCCAACAGGATTATCTGAACCAGGGTTGGAATGCTGCATCTGAGGGCCTCAGATAATCCAGTGTAATGCCCAGACTGGACCAGGTTACTGCCAGAGGTCCCATCCAACCTTGACTTCATCTGCAATTCTCTGCTTTTTACAAGCCTGTGATCTTCACTCCACAAAGGCCAATCTGAGATACTCAGCAAACTCTATCATTCCACTATCTGCAAAACCATAAATGGACAGGTTGATTACACCTTGTTACAGGGAAATGTTCACTCCAAACCCACTGAAAAGAGGTTTATTATATCTGCACTTGTCATATCAATGCTACCTCCATAAAGAAAGAGGCTGCACTGCCACAGGAAATATAACATCGAGTACCTACAGCCCAAGACATCTCCGACTTTAACATGAGGCATTTTTCTTCTCAAAAGGAAAAAAAAATTGAGTGAAATATTTAAGACATTCATTCATTAAAATCACCCAACTATTCCACACAAAGCTGGTTTCCTTCTGTCAGGAAAATATGGGGCCATAAATTTAGCTATAAAGTCACCCTCGGATTTTTCATGATCTATACAATTGTCCAAATAAAAAATGGCAGGCAACAAAAGGAGAGCATCTGACAGGAAACTGGTTAAATGGCATCCCAGCGAGCATTTCAATCTTTACAGTATCACTGGAGTCAAACATAAGAAAGAATGATTATGCAATAATTGGATGAAGCCAAAATACAGTTCACAACCTTTGCACACGCCACCCAGCACAAAACAAATCAAAGCAATAAAGCTGATGCCATTTCCCTTGCTAAAGTCTCCCCACGCAGATATTCATTTACTCTGCCTACAGATTTATTAAGAGTTGGTTCACACCAAAAAAAAAAAAAAAAAAAAAAGTATGGAAAAGGATAAGGTTTTTCATCCAACAAAGAAAACTGCCAATATAAAGGGGAAAAAAGCAAACAATACATGTCAAACTTTATTGCAAAATTCACAAGGTCATATCCTGAACTGACAGAGATTTCAGCGTGAAGGAGCTCCATTGGCTTATTCCATAACCCCACCTGGCCTAACTAGTCTTAAACTCAATCCATAAGCAAAGTTTCAAGGGAAAGGAGGTCAAATGAAGGATGTGAGGAAACTTTCTTTCCCTCCACTTGTCTTTCAGAAGTCAATGCTATCAGGATAAGAAGGTTTGTGAGTATTCAAGGCCTTCCCTCAGCAAGTTAAAATAAAAATGCTACTTCAGTATTTTAGTTTTTGCAGTGCCTGTGTGGCATGAAAAAGCACTGGCACTGACTGGAGAGCTTTTTTCCTCTTCAAAATCCATAAAATAGTAAGGAATATCAAAATGACAAGATCCTAGGGACGATAAATCCTTAGAGGTTATAGTTTCTGTTCCTGCATTATCAGCCTTCCTTTACATCCAATTTCACTGAGCACCAAACTCCTCTTTGTGAGTCACAGTGACAATTTAAGACACCTGTCCTTGCTCTTGGACCATAACAAAAGGTTTCATTTACCACATGCAAATTTCTCCTTCAACAGCAATTTAAATCCAGCAGCTGAAAACTCCACAGCCCCTCAAGAGTTATGGAAAACAAGCAAATCCACAATTACATTATTTCTTCTCGAACAAAAACCTTTACGTTTTGTCAAAGACCAGCTGAACCTTTCTCACAAACTTCAAATGTCTGAAGCCATCTCCTTACCCTCTGGAAGCATCTGGTGGAATGGAATTCACACTGCATCATGTCAAAGAAGATGGGGATCGTGGCTTTCCGCAGCTCGGTTTCCGGTATCAGCGTCATTTCCAGGATGGGCCCCACCATTTCCGGGATGAACTTGATTTTATGCTGACCTTTAAGAGAAAAGATGCATTTCAGAGTTAACAAACAGCCACTGATGGTGGGAGGAGGTACAAAAGCTGTAGCAATAAATCCTCATGGAGCAAAATAAAGTATTTTTTAATATCTGCTCTACTGAAACATTTCTTTTCTTCTTTATTTTTTTTCTTTTTCTTTTCTTCTTTTTCTTCTCTTTTTATCTTCTTTTCTTCTCCTCCTCCTCCTTCATTATTATTCATTTTTACTCTTGCTATTAATATTATCACTACCATTATTACTTGTGGCACAGGAGGGGAGGTAAGTGATGTGTACAAACCCAAATTAACAAGAGTTGTCAAATCACTCGGCAAACGAGGACTTACCACATTTTTCCAGCGAGAATTTTCACACTACTAAATTATCCAGGGTTTATTTTAAAAACACAACTTCTGGCTGGCAGGGAAGAAGGCTAAAAGGCACATCACTTGTATTAACTTATTTAGACTTGTGTGTCTTCCAGAGTGTACAAAATGTTCTCTGTGTCAGTCTATCAAAGTGTCACCACGAGTGCAGCCTTACAGAGCCTCGAGACACGAAACTCCAGCTCACCCAGCTGACAATATGCCTCCTTTCCTCAGGGGTTGAGCTCACTGGCAAACTTGATTTCGTATTTCTCTTCCCCAGAGAAAGCTGCTCCTCCCCCAGCCCTCCCTGCTACGCTCTCCACACATGCAAGAGAAATCAGAGCTTAACAGGAGCGTGGCACCTAATAAATGTTGGACCAGGAGAAAATATTACTGTTAATATTATGAGTTAAATGAATGCAGTGCTGCAAACGACCTGTTAAATGACTTCAGGGAAAAATCACAGAACCGTGGAACAGTTTGGGTGGAAGGGACCTTCCACTAGACCAGGCTGCTCCAACCTGGCCTTGAACACTTCCAGGCATGGGGCAGCCACAGTTTCTCTGGACCTGTGCTGATGTTTTCCCGCCCTCACTGTATGATGACACTGGCACAGAGCTCCAGGCAGAGCACTCCTTGGCAGAAGTTTAGAAAATACAACTAAATTCCTCTCCCAGCAGCAGGATTCATTTGAACCTCAGCACAGCAGGAGCTCTTTCTCACAAATGTTGTGTTATGGGTGTCCCCCATCAGGCTCACACCCTGCTCAGGAATCCACTGCTGTGCTTCACACCAAACTTCCCGGGATTTCAGCTCACTTAAGGAGCCCTCAGCCCCCATCAGACTCTTGCTTCCCGTTGCATTTACCAGTGGTACAGGACAGAAACAGATTGTAACCCATTTATATTCCACTGCACTACACCACTGTGACAGTAACCAGTGAAGTCTTTAATTAGCAGTTTCACTTTCGACCAGAACGAACATACATCTCAACAAATGTAATCACGACAAAATCCTCTACTAACAACACACACTGCTTTTTTCTTTTTTTTTTTTTTTTTTTTTTTTTTTTTTTTTTTTTTTTAGCAGATGTAATTTAAATTACTCAATTTGGCAAACTTTACAATCCCATTATCATTAGCAATCCTATCAGGGCAAATTAATACTCAACTAAAACTCTGACTTCGGGTGCTGTTGCAGAGCTGGTTGTTGGTGAGGAATATCAAGTCAGAGGAGTGAAGCTTTCCTCGGTTTCTCCTACAAGTATTATTACATTTGGCCTCTCAGGTGAGAGATTTTTTTGTATTATGCCTGAAGAGTGTCAGAGTCAATGTGTCAGAACACAACTGATGGTGACAGAAGTTATTTGTTGTGCACAGATTCAGTGTCAGGAAGTTCTCCCTGGGCCACGGAGGGGTTTTTTCCATGGCTTCGAGCACAGGGATTCCCTCAGAAAAGTGACAAACAGCTTTCAAACTGCAGACATGAGCAACTGAAAATCCATGAAGGATGAAAGTGTTTGATCCTGTTTCCTCTTCTCTAGGGGAAAGTCCATGAACTGGGAGCCCTGGTGACATCCACCTGATGCCACGACACACGCTGGTGATGTGACAGCACACACACACACACATTTGCTATGGTGACATGATCCTGTGTGATGTTGTGCCACAACAGAAAGCAGGGGAGCAAAGCAGGAAAGGCAATAACCCTCCCCTGGCCCTCTGGAGACTCCACCCCTCTGCCTGCATCAGCAGCACTTCCCGATAAACAACCCAACAACGAATTCCTCATTTTTTTTCCCTGTGGGAGGGCGGGAACTCCCCCACAGAGACTCAAAATTTGACGAGGCTGGAAGAAAATTGAGGCTTCTCTTTTGGAACCCAAAGTGTGCAGCTGTTTTAAGAACCACATGTAAAGAAAGCATCCTTTGAACGTGCAAAGACTTCCCCTTGCAGCGTGTCCTGCCTTCCCCGTGCTCACCCAGCAGGAGCTCATCCCACCAACCAAACCCAGCGCTCTCTTTCTGGATAAACAGGCAAATCTCTTTTCCCAGGTTCTTCCCATCCAAATTTGGGCCACAAACCCCCCTGACCAAGTTGCCAGCAGGCTCACCTCTCCCTTGGGTTGTTCAGAACATGCATGACTAACCCAGAGAGTGTTATCTGGAGTGACTCCTGTTTATGCAACGCCCAAAGTTCAGGGCTATTTTTAAGCCCGGCCTCCCCTCCAACGACATCAGCGTCTCTGTCAAGACACCTTTGGTGACGTCAGGCGCTCGGAGGGATGGGCTGGATGGTGGGAGCTCGCTGCAAGACACCACCAGCAGCCAATTCACCTTCAGGAACTTCCCTTTTCCATCTGCCTCCAGCCGCTTCAGACGTCAACAACGGAAGGGCTGTTCTCCAAACCGCCTTCCCCTGACCAACTCCTCCACAAGGAGATGATTTTAAATGGCACTGCAGTTTCTTTACCACAGAGCTGTTGAAAACATCACCCCTGCAAACCTGGGCATGTGGCCTCGTGTCAAACTGCTGGGCTGTGGCTGCTAAAATTGCATCAGGTAACGCTTTTAAATGTGTGGGTTTTGAGCTCCAAGACATTTCCAAGACAAAGGCCGTGGCTTGTTTTAAGCAGCTCTGATACTTAATGTCTCACCAAGGTTTAAGCAGCTCTGCTTTCCACAAAACAGTGGCTCAAAAAAGAATGTTATTTTAAAGTTCAGGTGGTGATATGGAAGGGAAAAAAGCCTCTAAAGTGCTGCTCTGCACTAAAAACGCTCTTTGCTTTTTTTTCTTCTATTTATAAAGAGAGGAAGGTGTGGCCATTGCAGCCCCCACTGCAGCAGAAACATGAAGGCAAGGAAAAAGTTCTAGAATTTGTATTTTCCTCTTTCACTTCAGAAAATAAATTATTCTTTTATAAGTGTATTATGGCTGGAGGACTGTCTTGCTCCCACCTGGAGAGTTTTAACTCGGCAGGCACCATGTGTTAATCATGGCATTTAGGGACAAAACCTGATGAGACACAACAGTCATTTTTGAGGCTTATCCCTACCTGTTAATCCATAAATCAAAAGTCAGGCTTGGTTTGGTTTCATCGTATCTTATGCACAACGGCACAGTCATAAAAATTCTGTGCTCAGGCACATTCCAGAATCCCAGCTTTTCACTTCTGATTTAGTTTCTGAACATACACATGAATAATTTGACTAATGCAGTGAAACTTCTAAGATAAGAGTGTCAGGCACCCCCCAATCGATTCCCCTGCAGAGCCAAGTGGGAATTCTTTCTTAATTGGTGCTGTGACATAGATGAGATTGGGGAAGAGCCAGAAGTTAAACATGATCTGCATGGACAATCTGTGACAGAGATGAGGAAAAGCAAGAAGAAGCACAAAGGCTGTCATGGATTGGGGTCCTGCCTCCCATTTACCTTCCTCTCCCAGCTTTTGTTGGGAAGAGCAGCAATTTTCTGACTCTCTCACGATGTGAGATTTCAGCATTAATGATCCCAGATGTGAAGAGAATCACAGATATCAAAGCTAGAGGAGGTCACAGAGGCATCTACCTGGATAATTTCCATTTATAAAAAATCCATTGAAAATAAAAGGCTTTCAAGACAGCACAGAAAGAAATATTGGAGAAAACACCACCCCTCGGGCCAATCGATTCCCAAAACTCCAGGGGAAATTATTACCCTTGTTAATGGTGAAGAAGTGATCCCTGGAGTGACTAAATAACCTGTCTAAGAGCAGGCAGTATAAAAGGCACAATGCACTCCACACACCCAGCCTGGATAGAACAACTTCCGGTAACGACAGCTGATGGAGAACTCTGCATCAACCTTCCTACTTTCAGTCCAGTAAAGTCTGGGAGAGGTTTAAGAATCTAAAGAGGCCAAAGAAATTAGTCAGGATAAAGGATGGCTGAGGGAGCTGGGGGGGCTCAGCCTGGAGAAAAGGAGGCTCAGGGGGGACCTTCTGGCTCTGCAACTCCTTGACAGGAGGGGGGAGTCGGGGCAGGGTCGGGCTCTGCTCCCAGGGAACAAAGGATGGGATGAGAGGGAACGGCCTCAAGCTGGGTCAGGGGAGGTTTAGGTTGGGTATCAGGGAAAATTTCTTCACCTAAAAGGGCTGTCCAGCCCAGGGCAGGGGTGGAGTCCCCATCCCAGGAAGGATTTCAAAGCTGTGTGGATGTGGCACTTGGGGACATGGGTTAGTGTTGCCTTGGGGGGACGGCTGGACTCGATGATCTTTTCCAACCTTAACAGTTCCATGATCTATGAATACAGGACTGTGGGCCTGGAACAGGGAAAGGTTTGGCTAATTACCAGCAAAGAGACTGCCAGGATCCTGTGCTGGATGTGCAGCATCAGGCACGACACTGATTTTATTACCTGTCTGTCAAGTCCCATATCAGTTGTGCACTAAAGCTTTAATCTCTTCTCCAGACACTTAATTCACGAAAGATGCTTCTAATAAAAAGTGAACTCAGCTGCTCTCAGAAGCCTTTTCTCATCATTCCAGCAGATAGGATGCAAATTCTGTGATATCAAATACTTATGAACCCTTGGCATTCCGTTCTCTCACAGATGCCGGGTTTTTTCAGCTCTCAGCAACAACACCTCAGCCAGAGATAGAAGTGAAGTGGCAAATGCATTTATTTCTGATAATTTAAGGAAGTTTTGATAAAACTCCGAAAAGTTGAAGTGTCTGTGCTGTTAAGCTCGGGAAAATGAAATCTGGCAGATGAGTACACTCAGGTCACAGTAAATACTCCGTTTCTCAGGAAATTCAATCCCATATAGTTAAATTATACCCACAGAGCAGCCCGGGCTGGAGAAAGGCAGAGATGTCTAATTTACCCACGAACTCCAGAGAGCTCCAAGCTCCCATTCTTTCCTGAGTCACTCTGATGCAGCCAAACAAGACTGCAAGTCAGACTTTAAGCTGCATTTGCAGGCTAAGTTACTGATAACCCTTGAACACATCCATTTTGCTACACTCCAGCTTACTACATCCACAAGCAAGTGAGTATTTATGTGTAGACATATTTATATGTATATGGATATTTTTAAGGGGGGGGGGAACCATTCAAGAAGTATCATCATAATATTTCTTTTCATATTTAGCAAGGGGTTGAATAGCATGGAAAAAAACAGAAGATACATAAATAGGAACAACAGTTAAATGGTGAATTAAATATGCAGATTTCTTAAATCACCTGCTTTTTAAAAGCCTTCTGGAAGTCTATTATTATTTCAAAAGAAACCAAGTTCATTTCATGGAATGGTTTGGGTTGGAAGGGACATTAAATATCATCTCATTCCATCCCCCAGCCATGGGCAGGGACACCTTCCACTAGGCCAGGCTGCTCCAAGCCTTGGATGTTTCCAGGAATAGTCCTTGGTTTATAGGAACACTGAGGGAAAACAGTATGTTAGAGGTGCTCAGGCTACTTACCCAGATTGTACCACATGTCCCTGATTTCAAACCCAATCTGCCTTCTCATATCACCATACCTTAAAGAGGAAAACAAGAGCACCATTAAAATAAAATTAATCTAATACTTTAAGGCAGATAAATCCAATTTCAAATTCTGATCAGCATTCAAAAATATGGGAAATTACAGAAGAGGTTCTCAAATTGAATCCATAATCCTGAGATTACCTGGCCACCTGTAAACATCAAACTTTATAGAACCCCTTGGAAAAGGGAAGAGACAGAGGCTGCAAGCCTTGGTGGCCCATCAGCACCTTCTGTTCCTCACACTGGGTTTCCTGCTCTCCCTCAAAAGACCCTAAAAATCTCATTTCTCTCAAGGGGAGAACAATCACCTGTGCAAAACCTCCCTCTGAAATGATTTTCACGTTACCTGTGAAATTTTTATATTCCACTCCCTCTCCACATTAATACCAGGAAAGCTCAGTGAATGAAAAACATTCCATCGCCTTCAGCAACGAACCAGAACGAGCTCCAAGAATGTATTTGCTACGTGGAATATTTGTAAGGTAAAGATCATTACTTAAACAACAAGATGAGCAAAACTGTAATATCTGGCAACCTGTAGGATTTCTGTGGGATAACAATGAGACACTCTGTGATTAATGTGGATTGAAGAGAATCTTCTGCATCGTTAAGAATCTGTTATTATCTAATGCTTAAATGCAATGTTTAGCAAAACCTACAAATTACAATAATTAAATTTTAATTATTAAATATTTGGCATATTAATTGAAATATATACTTAAAGAGATGGATGAGTGTGATATTGAATTAACTGATTAATTCTATTCCTTTTGGAAGTGGCTTCACACAGCAATGAAAGTCAGCGCCTCCAGACCACACATTTATTGCATCTTGAAGAATTTATAGTCTTGAGTCCCATCTCCAAAACATGATTACACTGAAGATAACACTTTGTAAATTCATTAGAAACAAAGATTTACAATTTGGCAAACTTCATTAAGTAACCACTTCAAACAACTTAATCTATTTACTTCTATCAGCAGTGAGAAATGTCTGTTGATTTCTTGAATTTCCTCAACAAGAAATACTGCTCTGCTTAATATAAAAATCACTCAAAGGAGATTTCTGCTTGAGGTTCCCATCCTGACAAGAGGGATTATCAGTCCACAGACATATCCAGCCCTGTTGTCTCTTTGTTCTGGTCAGGAGTCAGATCTGAACTAAAACCCTCATGTAGGTGCACACCAGTGCTGGGTGGAGAGGACAAGGAGATTCTAAATAAAATTAAATTAAATTAAAATAAATTTACCTGGCTCTACAACACCATCTCAGTTTCTTTCTGAAAATGTGTAACTGTAAAGTTATTTACGATATTTACAGCACGAGCCCAAAAACCTGAGCTCTGCTTGACACCACTTTTCCACCGAACTTGTAAATATTCCTGTTTCATCAAGGAAGGCCCAAGACTCACAGAAGGTGTATCAGAAGATAAAAGAGCTTAAAAATTCTCTTTCAAGGCTCAGGTAAAGCACAGCTTCCAAAGGAAGCACTTCAGAACTCACGATGGAGCGGTTGAGTTTACAGGGCAAAATGCAGCTGCCAAAAAAAAAAAAAAAAAAAGGGATGGGATGTGGAGCCTTCCCTGAATTTTCTGCTCAAAGCCTTTCACACAGTGAGAGCAAAAAGCCTTTAAATTCAAGTCAGTGCAGCAGTGATGAACTGTCCCTATTGTCACTGTGATTTCTCTTATCATAATAATATACAGAAAGGTTGGAATTTCGAAGGAGCAGCGATAAAAATGCCTCTTCTCTCTCTCTCTCTAGACATTTAATATAAATTGTACACACAAGGAGCCTGAGCTACACTTGCTCAGGGAATCAGAGCTTTGAAATTCCCCATTTTTGTGCAGTACCTGTGACCTGACTACGGGAACACTCTGCTCTTACAGCTGCTCTTTCCAAACATTATGGCACGGAAAAAGAATCCCCACATTTGTCTGAAATCACATCAGTGGCTTTTCTCTGCCTGGTGTTTAGTTATGGAGTGACAAGGTCACTGCTCTGGAACCCCAAAAGAAAGCCAGGGGGAAACACTGCTAGGACAGAGGGAAACAGCCTCAAGCTGTGCCAGGAGAGGTTTAGGTTGGATATCAGGGACAATTTCTTCCCTCAGAGGGTGGTCAGGCATGGGGACAGTGGTGGAGTCCCCACCCCTGGAGGGATTTCAAATCCATGTGGATGTGGCACTTGGGGACATGGATTAGTGGTGGCCCTGGTTAATGGTTGGACTTGATCTCAGAAGTCTTTTCTACCCTTAATAATTCTCTGATTAAACAAAATATTCACGCTCTGCTCTGATTTCCAGGTTTGTTTTTTTTCTTTTTTTCCCCCCCGGGACAGCTTTCCTTTGCTGTGGGATTCTGACTAGCAGGGGGGCAGTTCAGGCTCCCCGTGTGGAGCCGGGCAATGTAATCCCTTTTAACCAGGGAAGCAGACAAGGCTGCACTCATCCAAAGCCATTCTTGAGGGATATCACACTGGAACTGGCTGCACTTACAAAAATTCCCTCGAAAAGGCCGTCGGGGATTAAGCAATAAAGAGCCCACGTAAAATGAGATTAGAATAAGGAGGGAGCTGAAGTGATTTAAAAATGCAGTTTTATAATATGTTAATGCTTCTGCAAAGTCTTGACTTTATGAACATCCTGCAGCATAAAATACTGTCTTCATCAGTAATGAATCATGTAATTTAGATCTTGATTCAAGGGTAGAAACACATGCAATACTTGATTCATGTTTTTAAAGCCAACCTTTCATTACACTGTGATTGCATCTCAATTTGAATAGATTTAGCTAAGAAATTAGACTAAAATTATATCAATAGACCTTGAGTTCTTGCCCCTGATTTAGATGACGAACAGGACTTACTTGTTAAGGATTTTTGCTCTTTTAGCACTTGAAAAATTCTCCAGTTGTAAAGATTCTTGTGTGAGGAAAGCCACAGCCAGGTGGAAGTAGTTGTTCCAAAGCTGAAAGCCCCCAAAATGACAAGAATAGGTATAATGAATTCTCTGAAATGTTTTTCTGCACAACTACAAAACAACTTAAAAGTCTCTAAATTATGCACATAAATATTTAAAGGAGAAAATAACAGACACCACAGAGATGGTGCCTCTCGATAAATTCTTAGCACATCTCCTCGTTGTCTTCGCGTTTCCATGAAATATCTCCCATCTGCAAACCCTAACTCATCGTGTTTTGATGAGTCAAGTCAAATTCCAGCCCAAAGCCATCCCTGTGATTCTGGGACTGCACGACAAGACCCACAAGAATGGATCACAAATACCTGAAACAACTTAACTGGGGTAACTGGTCAGGACAGCACATAAAATCACCAAAATTGCGTGTTTAGGGCAGAAATTTATGACAGTCCCCAAGACACTGGTGGGTTTTTTTCTTACCTGTAACTCAAAGTTGGTTTGATCAAGGAATTTTTTGTTGAGCATATCTGCATATTGATTAATTGCTCTCAGGAAGACTCTGAAAGATCAAGAGAAAATGATAATTACACACTTTTCTGGGGTACCTTTGTATATCTGGCAACATAATCAGACAAAAATCTGAGCCTGTCTGGACGGTGAAATTTGAGGCTGTTACTGGAAGAGCAGTGTGATCTCACCACTGTTAATACACAGAATTTTATGCAGATGTTCTCCAAATTAATCAAGTAAATTAGCATATGCAGCAACACACGGAATGTTTGGGGTGATATCACTCGTCTTTAAAATATCTCACAATAATCAAGAGAGCATTAAAAATTCAGTTTTTTTGAAAAATATATCTATTTTTAAAACTGAAGATTTCAATGTTGTATTTAAACCAGACCCACAACTGGTTGTATCTTAACTTGCAGGTGAAGCAAAACACACTTTTAAACACGAGGCAGAAAATCTTTTACTCATGGCAGAACAGAAATGCTGCTGAAGGACAATCTTCAAAACACCGTTCACTGCTCTACTTCCAAAATGCTAATTCAGTACCCTCTGCACTTATTGAGTCTCTAAAATGCTTCTTAAATTGCAACAGGAGTTGGCCTGACAAGCTGTAAAGAGAAACCCAAATGGCACGGGAGAAGTAGGTCACTACATATTCATGGTGCTGAAAAACAAACATATTATTCTTTGGTTGCCTGATCTCCATTTTCAAAACAAACATTAAGAGTTCCTCCCGAAAACTTGGAATTAATGCTCTGCAAGTGCCAGCTGATGCCCAGACAAATGAGTTTGTCTTCTGGGGAGCTGTGGTGGAGATTTATATCTCCTCAAAGTCCCCAACAACCTGAAGACCTCTCATGACATGAATTAGTTTTTCTCCCCCACCCCAACACCAATTTTAAGACGACATTTCACCGTGGAATTCAAATAACAAACTTAATCTTCCTTCAGGCTGACAAATAAATACCAGAATTATTTAAAACAGACCAGAAAAGGTGGTTGGAAAGATCTTTTACTGAATTTAAGATACCTACTGATCTCTCATACAAATAATTAATAACCAGCTAAAACTCTGGTAACCCAAGAGAAATGAAACCTCCAGAAAACACATGGGCAACATCTTGCCAAGAGATTATTTATATATATTTATACATGGGCACTATGTTACCAAGGGATTATTTAGTATATGTTTATATATGGGCAACATGTTGCCAAGAGATCATTTATGTATATATTTATGTATTTATATAAATTGACAGAGTAAGGCATTGGGTTCTTTAGAGAGGTTGTTTATTTATGTATTTAAGTAAACAAATAAAGGAAAAATTTTGATGCCACTGGGATGTATCTAGTATAAAGTCAGATCACCCCCAGAGCAGCATAACAGAGGAGTGAAAATAAAACTTAAAGTTAGGAAAGAAAATAGAAAAGATTTAAAAATACGGAAGTATTTATAAAATAAAAACAATATATATATAAAATTAAATCCACACATATATGTAGGTATATTTTATAATATTTCCCTTTACAGATAAGATGGCAGAGACATCTTTGCCCTTGCACCCAGCACGCACAAGGATGAATTTCAGGAGCAGCCCTTCAGCCCATTATTCAGCATCTTTGTCAGTGGCAACAACTTCATTAAGAGATTTTATAAATGAGCTGAATGCAGCAAACACAATAACACTCTGCACTGATCCAAAATGTATGTATTTGAGATCTATGATTCAATTACTGAGCTGTAGCACATACCAAGATTGAAACCCCAGTTATCTGTGTAATCAGACAACCACCGGTTTGATCCGTTGACTTATCCCCTGGCTTGGTTTGTGCTTTTAAAGTCTGATAATACAATGGGATTCATAAATCTTCCCAGAAGAATTAGCAGTTTAATGTGCTGGGAAGGGCCATCCAAGGCTCCTTTCCTCATGGAGATAAAACTGGTTCCAACTCAGGAAGGACTGTGCCTACAACTTAATTCTGCTGCCTCAAGACATCACTGTGATGTATTCAATCTAATTAAGCTTTGGCACGATCTCATTACTTTATATACCATTGTTTTCCTTTAAACTGTAACTCATTTTTCCCTTATGTTCATTCTAGTGGATACCAATGAGGAACAAACAATGCAGGTTCTGCTGTAAATTGCAACTGGAGAAGGACCAGAGCACACAACTGGAGCTGCAATTCAACAACTCCGTCCCCTCCCAGCCCACGCGCTGCCCCCAAAGTCACCAGGTGGCTTTAGGAAGGCAGGTGTTCCTCCAGCATTCCACAAAAGAACACCCAGAGAGGAGATGCAGAGATTTAAGCGTCGATTTTCGAATTATTTATTCAAACCCCAATTTGAATTTGATTTGATTATGCACTGAGTCTTTCTGTTGCTGGATAAAACACCTTGTAACGCAGGTCAGTGAAGAAGTCGCAGTGGAAGTCAACAGAACAATGTTATTATTACTACTATTACTATTATTACTATTGCAGTATATCTTCATTTGCAAATCAAATGCCATCCAAGGAGGGTTTTATGCCCATTTCAACCAGAACTGAAAGAACTGCTGGAAATATTGATGGTCCCTTCACTACAACATGGTGGACAGCAGATGACTATTGCAGATCATGGTCCTGCAAAGCGAACCGTGACTGGCACAGCACAGGAACAGTGAGATCCATCCTGAATAATCCAGATTTAACTGACGAAAAGGGAAGATATGAAGTGGATTTACCAGCAACCAATAGAAGTACTACAACCCCATGGCACAGTCACTAGAACCATCTGGTCATGGAAAAACCCACAGCGCTTTTTAGCGCCTTTTAGTTCCTCCAGCACCAGCAGAAAACAGCAGAATTGTGAAGATTTTTATCTGCTGAGGTTAATTTTCAGAATATCTCTTAGCTCAGTTGGTAGAGCACAGTGCTAATAACTCCAAGGACATGGTTGTGATCCCTGCACAGCCCATTCACAGGGAGTTGGGACTCCATGACCCTTGTGGGTCCCTTCCAACTCAGAATGTTCTGTGACTGCCACAAGAAAAGAAAGAGTCTGTGATAAAATACATCTACATGGGTATTAAATGCCTCCAAGGATGGGGATTCCACCCCTGCCTTGGGCAGCTGTGCCAGGGCTGGACAGCCCTTCCTATGAAGAAAAACACTTCAGGTTTATGCCCAAACAAAATTTGCAAGAGGAAGCAGAAATTTTTTTATTTCTTATTCCAGGTGTTACTTTAATCCTCCTCCAAAGCAGGGGCTGCCAATTTTCAGCAACTTCACTTTTAAAGTCCGAGAAACCAAACAAATGGAGGCAAATTTGGCTTTTAAAAACCAGACAGAATTAAACCAAATGCAAAGTTCTGTTCTGAAGAATAAAGAAGTTGGCTGCTGGAACACACTCAAGGATGAAAGGTGGACTTGGACATCACTGGGCCAACACACAAGTGATCAAAACTCCCTCCTACACTCAGATGGAGCATCACCCACAGTGCCATCCCTTATCTTGCTGTAATTAATAATGAAGATTAGTTTCCAGTTGCATATGCATAAAAAGAAGTGCTTTTCTTGAAATTCAGCTTCAATTACCAAAAGAATAGATTATCTGTGTCAGGAAGAGCCACAAAAGTTAAACCTTGGAAAAGAGAGAAGTTCAGAGACTGGAAGCAAACACAATGTTCTCTGCTGCCATGTGAAACAACAGAAGCTACTTCTAAGGTATTGGAAAAAGATTTCTTAGACAAAGGACTTTATCAACCCAATTAAAAGGAGGAAATTAACATTTCCTATGATGTGAGTGGAATAGAAGGAATATGATTAGGGAAGGAAGTCACTTCAGGATATGTGGGAGGAAGAATGACCATTGCTAAAGGGCGTAAGAATGTAGCAAACAACAAAATGACCACCTTGTTCAGCTGAAGTCACCACCCTTCAAGAATGACACAAAAATGTGGGGAGAGCTCAGGTGAGAGAGGACAGGAGATGGAGGAAACCACGGCAGAGGTTGGACATTAGGAAATACAGCTCATAAAGGGCAGAAATCCTCAAAAAAAAACCCCAAACCAAAAAGCCAGATGGAGCAAATATCTGTGCCCTGGGTGGGTCCATTCCCCTCGTCCTGCCTTGGGCAGTAATTTCTGCAGTGATTTCCCCACATTTATGGCTCTCACTCCAGAGTCAATACATCCAATAATATGCTGCTGCTCCACGAACCAGCTTCAGCTGCAACCAAGGACTTGTGGGTATTTTTCCTGTTACTGATGATTACTCCCACAGGTGGTTAATTGGTTTGTGGATTCAGAGACTGCTCCACCAAGTAGTGCAAAAACTAATGGTTTGATGTTGGAGTTTTCCAAAAGGTCCTTTTTTTTTTTTTTTCCTACAAACAACCTCACTGACTGCAGGAGGCTGGGAACATACATCAAATCCTGACTTCCAGTGGCAATTGTAAATGAAGAAGGGACAAAGGGATTCCATTTATAAATGTAACAGGAGTCACTGAGCCAAACAACTCATTTTTTTTCCTCTTTCTCAGGTACAGTCGTTTTTTATCCCACCATTCTCTCTCCTAATTAGTCAAGTGCCCTTATTTGCTCGTGTTTAAAAATATTCTGTGCCCCATTTTCTTCCCCTCAGCTTCTCACATTGTTTAAAAAAACTATTTGCGAGAGCTAAAGGAGCTGAAGAAAAGGGGATGCAGGACACCTCACATCAGATCAAACTGCTCTGCAAATGACTGTTCTGGAGAAATAACCTAGAGAGATATCCCAAAAGTAGAAATATTTTTACAGTCTATGCCATTTTTTTTACATTATTTAGTTTGTTCAGTTAGACAGGGATATGCATGTACACTGTATTTATGCAAAATATTTATGACAAGAAAATATGAGACAAGAGAAATCAGGAATGTCCTCCCCAGTATTTTTCCTTCAAAAAAGAGGGGAAAAGAAGGGACAAATGACTTCCCTAATGACAGAATAATTATCTAAACAAGAATACAGAGATACAGCTTAGAATAATTTCGGTTTAGCTGATAATTCGATAAAAGAGAGGGAA